TTAATAACGGAATGTAAATATGTCACTGTCGATTACATACATCTAACTACGACGACAGAATTGTATGTGAGCGGGAAATTAAAAACCTTGCAATATATTGTAAAATATGTTACGAACAATAAACTGATGACTAAAAGTACCTCTTATTTTTCACAAATTCGTTATATACCCTATGCACATCATCATAATCTAACCGCCAAGTGACAAATTATTCACTATAAAACTACGATGAGTACTATAGTACAAGATCCCATATATGCCAATGCATGGCGCAAGTAGCCAAACAGAGCCCGATCGTACGCGGGTTATAGCCTTGACGGTTGATTTATGACGAAACACTCGTGACACAGGCCACGCCAACATTTTATATTACGAATTTAGAATATTTATATTTTCACGGCAATAAAAACTGTCAAGCGATATTTCTTCACGTATCAACATATAATGATAACAAAGTGCACGAGAACATTCTTGTTAAACACATCTCTGGGCAGCCATTTGCTATGACGGCTGTGTAGAAATAAAAGGTATATGCACAGTACGCAGCACAGTAGCACTTCACTAAATAATTGCTCGTATGACGTGTATCATATGGCAATAATGGCCTAGTGATCAAATTGTTGGTCGCTGAAATCTGTCAACGCTTGGAAAGAAAAATATTTGGATTTTTCTTACCTGGACGATCCTCTACAGCTAAAAGGATTCTCAGCTTCGAATATCGCGACCCCACGCCACTTGTGCGGCATATGAAAGTGTATGGGGAAAATCTGTATTACCATTGGCTTATTTCAGATAAGCCGCAAAAAGTAAGCCAATCAGCGTCAACCTTTTATGTTTTGAAGCGTTTCTTTTTACCCCCCCCCAATAAAATGTCTGCTGGTAGAAAGGGCGGGAAAAATCATGCGTGGAAAGTCGTCAACATTATATCATTTCTCTTGCACTAAAAGGTAGCTCTTTTATTCAATTAAACAGATATATTTTTAACGGTAAAACTTTTTTACAGTTGTTAACGCGTTTCAGAATGCCTCGTAACAAATAAATAATTTGAATTATTAAGGTTATGGTCTCTTATCATAGATGGCACTAGATTCCACAAGCTAAATGTTAAGGCGCAAATTACAGTACCACCAACGTGATGTGAAATAGCATTCGATATGTACGCATTTGTGCATATACATATGCATATTTATATATGTGCTAAATGGATTAATGTTTGTCCTATTGTAGAAATTCATAAATATATTAAAACTAGATATAAATGATACATTAAAAATCCTCTAACATATATACATATATATTTAATAATATAATGACTAACAATAGTCACTTACGGTGCATCAATAATAAAGTAATTTATAAAGTCTTATATTACCTTTATTTCATTATATATTGATTTTTTTATATAGAGTTATCAATATATTTCATAAGAAATTGAACAGCAAGGTATAACAAAATGTTTGTATACATACATTATATATTAATAATAAAAGTATTAGATTATACAATACAGTTAAAATATGTATATTGTATCTAATGTATATTTAAAAGTTGCTTAAAATTATATTCATTTCTTAATATAATATTCTTTCTAATATAAAATTAATACACTAATCATTTATAATACATATACAACATAAAATAATGTAATATTGCCTATATACGTTTCTAATTGTCATAAAAATGAATAACATTACTGCTTATATGTCTCAATGTACAACATACAAATATAAAAGAACTAGAATCTACTGAGTGGATGTTTTATCATTATTATTACATATTAGTGTTTTCTTTATTACTTACATTTATGTTTTTTACAGTATGGAAAATGATCAATCAATGTATAATTTTTAAATACTGATTTATTAAACTTTATCAATACATTAATCAAACGAGATAACGAGATAAATAAAAAATGAAATAGATAAATTACTGAAATAGAAATTGTAATATTAATAAAGAATAAAAAATAATATAACAAAAACAGATATTAAAATAATTTGTATGTTCTTACAATAATGGCGTATATGGTTGGTAGAATTGAATTTACTGGATAGAAATTTCTTACCATGAACTATGTATATATATATATATGCACATATACAGATATGTATACATTAAAACACAATATATACGTCACACATACGTGTGTCATATGCACCTTCACGCAATTTTGTGTGAGTCAACGTAGCCGTGTATATAAATAATAAAACGCGGTGAAGTCGGGTGAAGTGTTGTGCTCGTAGTTTTAAAGAATTCTGTAAGAACATAAACGTGTTACGACAAAATAACACTGTTAAACATTTATCTTATAATGGAATTTTAGAAGTACACATGGTTGCTACAGAAGACACGTAAAAATAACTCGTATGTTAAAATGTTGTGAGAGAAAGAAAGTGAAACGTTATCCATCGTTTAGCACCGAGGTCTTCGTAATACGCAAACTCTACTATTTAAATTATCGATTTGTGAACCTGAATCTTTGTATAAAATAAAAGAATAAACATTCCGAGATAAAAACTTTCTTCCATACCGGTAACGGAGAAATAAACTCCCGCGACGAGTTAAATGTTGACAAATGAAATTCGACAGGAAACTATGAGCATGAAAAGTAGACGTCGCGGTGTATATTTTACTTTGAGACACACTATTTTTTGACGCAAATACAATACGTCGTGACATTTCGAGGTTGTTAAAGTTCTACATATTCTTCATACTGATTTAGTTGATGTTAAAAATAAAAAAAAATGAATGGATTCAGTACCGGTGAAGAAGATTCCAGAGGAGCTGCTGATCAAATCTGTTGCCTTGTTGATGAGGGTGAACGATGTACTCGACCAGCTGGCAACGCTTCTTATAGTAAACGTATCCAAAAAACTGTAACTCAACGGCGATTGAAACTTAATCTTGATCAAGTGGTAAGATTAATTATAACAGAAAATTATATTAAAAATTATTCAGAAATCAATTTCTTCTAAATTCATTTTAAAGTTGTGTTTCCTTCCCAAACTATTTTCTATATCATATGTTTTTAGTAAAATATAAATTGTACTGTTGAATGAAAGAAGGGCTTTAGTTTCAAGGGTCAATTTAAAAAAAACATTTTGACACATTGCAAAGTTAAATGTTTTTTACATAGTGAAGTTATAGTAAAACCACAGTATAAGATAGCTTTCTTATATAAATAATTCTGATTATAGTGATAAAAAATAAAACTACAAAGGAAAAATATCAAACTGTAAACAATACACACAGTTTTACCACAGCTTTCTTATACTGTGTTAAAACTGTGTGTATTGTTTACAGTTTGATATTTTTCCTTTGTAATTTTATTTTTTATCACTATAATCAGAATTATTTAAAGCATTAATCAGTAAGTGTATTTTAACATTATTTATTTAATAGTTAGAAAATATTTTAAAAACCTATAAATAGATTATTTTTGACCCAATCTATCGTTTGATATTGAAATATCTTCCTATTCAAAATTAGAGTTAAGTTTTTGTTCTGTTAAATCAAAATAACAATACTATTTATGTTTTTACATCATTTTCTATAATCATACTAAAAAAATAATATTAATGAAATGAATTTAGTTCAGTCGGTTACATTGATTTATCAAATTTGCTAGTTTTACATAGTTTTAAAGACATGCTAATAAAATTTGTGAGATATCTGTAAAAAGAAATGAATAATCTAATTGTGCATTTTATGCAAAACTTATGTTAGTAGCCTGAGGTATTAGGTTCAACAGTACAATTCAATACATTCGTTATAATATCATATATCTAAAAACTGAAATTTTACGAAGGGCAAGAAGAACTGATTATTTCAGTCTAGTCTGATATTTTGTACACTTATTTTAAATATTATATAATATACTATATATATATGACACATATATTATAGAAGACAACCATATGAAATATCAATTTCGACTGAAATAATCAATTTTACTTTCCCTTCTGTAAAATTTTCTTGTTTTTAAGTACATGATGTGATGATATTAAATTACATTTGCTGCATAATGTAATGTAATCTGTATATTTATAATGAGCAATAAATAAACTTTAAGATATAATTAAAGTAAAATTAATTAAATGAATTTGACAAAATTATAATAATATAATAATTGTTATTTGTTAAGTATTGAGATATAAGGGTACTATGTTCCATTTTTGAAAATTCTATAAGATGTGTACATGTTCTACTATTTGAGATAAAATGTATATTTGTATATTATTTGAATATGTATTTAATACATATATGCTTTGTCATTAACTTTTTCTTTAAAGTTAATTGTGTAATCGTTTACTATTATTTAATGTTTAACAAAGATTTATAGGCATTAAAGTATGTTGTGTATACCTAAATAATCTTTTATTATTGCATATTTAATTTATCAATAGGCACGTCACATATATATTTGTGATTATCATAAACAAGTAATACAATGTGCGAGATCTAAGCAGCAGCAACAACGTAGACGGAAAGATTCAGAAGAAGACTCTGGTGAAACCGATAATGACCTTCCCGAAGTTGACCTTTTCCAGTTACAAGTTGGTACGTTAAGGCGATACAAGAGGCATTATAAAGTTTCTACACGTCCAGGTTTAAATAAAGCTCAATTAGCTGATGTAAGTATGTTAGAATCAAGTATATATCAATATTTCGTGTACTTAAATGTTATATATGGTATTTTGAATAATTTTTATTACTTATTTCAGACTCTTATGAAGCATTTCAAGACCATCCCAGTAGTTGAAAAAGAAGCCCTAAGTTTCTTCATTTATACAGTAAAAACCAATGCTAACAAATTAGATCAAAAAAATGGTTTAAGCAACGATACCACATAGCCTAAGCATCATTTCATGAGTTTTGTTATTGTAATATTTTACTAGTGAGATAAAAAACGTATGTATGGATTTTTACTTGTTAATAGACATAGGTATTTTGTAAGATCTATGTATAAAACACACTAAAAAAATACATGTATAACAATGCACATTAAAAGTATTGTTTATTTTTTCATTTTTTAATTGTCATTAGATTCATAAGATGAACGCTGAAAAAGTCAGGAAACATCACATAAAGTGGTTTTCATACAAATACTCTTATGTTTGTTAATATTATTTATAACATTAAAAGTTTTGAATCAAGTTCTCTAGTAGTTTCTTCTTCACTATCTCCGCTTATCTCTAAAAATACCCCAATGTAGTTAATTAGTAGTGTTTCTAATGATAAAAAGATTAATTATATATGAAGAGTATGAATATAAGAAATACCTATATCATCTATGACTTTCTTTTCTTCCTTCTTTACTTCAGTAATTTCAATATCATCTTCTTCCTCTGAAGATTCCTCTACGTCCCATGTATTTGGTCCACCATTACCAAATGACATATTCTAAAAATTATTTATACGCAATAATTATATTAATTGTTTTAATTTATATTAATTTATTTCGTTTAATATATTTATGTTCTTACTGTATCCATTATGAGTTCTGCAGAACCTTCTCCAGGTTTTACAATTTTACATTTATCATTTTCTTCTTCCTGCATTTCTATTTCTAAAAAGAGAAAGAATATTCAACTTTATATAATAAAATAAAATTATCGATAGTTGTTTATCAAAGTACAATTATTGTTATATTACAATTGCAAATCATAATGGTAAGTACTTACCATCAGATTTTTTTGTGTCTTTTTTACCCCATTTGCGTAATTTGATACTAATGGATTCGCAATTCATTGTAGTTAACTTTTTCATTGTTGTACATTCTTTAAAACGATGTGTATTACGATCATCTTTTTTATACCTAAATATACATATTCAAAATTAGGAAAATTCCAATACAACAATTTAATTAACCGATTTAAATTTTACCTTGCTTCTACATCATATGCTACTTCTTCTTTAATTTGTTGTACTAATTCAGTAGCATAATTTGCAGCATAACTAGAAACTGCTGATATAACATCTTGGATAGTCATAGTTTTCGTCAAATAATTAAAATGTAAGCTACAAAGTTCTCTGTATGAGTTTATACCAAGAGTTAACTGAGCTACTCCAACCCTTTCTTCCATATACGTAGGATCCATAACTGTATTTCCACTAAGGCAAAAAATATTTTATTGTATATATATCTTACAATTTAATGAAATTAAAATAGTTTCAAATATTTACCTTTCAAATGTTATAAAAGACACACATACTGGATAGTGGTATATTGTTAAAGGTAATGGATCTTTTTCACAAAATGGGTGAATTATAATTTCTTCACCAGTTGAAGTTACATCTGGTCTATGAAAATGTGAAAGTGCAGCCAATGTTGCAATGGATGCACAATCAATTAAATTTCCATCATGATTAATAATATTAATATCAACTCTTAAATTCCACACCTACATTAAATAGGTATTTTAACAAACAACTTCTTTTATAAAATGAATTCAAATTTTCATAAAATGTTACTGAACTTAGGTATTTAAATGATACAAAAATTAAGAAGAATATATACATGCTACTAACCTTTTTATCTGCTATAATACATAAAGATTCTAAATCTATACATTTCGAGTCTTTAAAACATTTTTCCAGCTGTCTACTAATTAATACTGAAACTTCTGCTTGTTTACCAGCATCAAAATTCTGAGTTACCATTGCATTAAGTTCAACATTTATATGTAACATGCCTTCATTAGGGCGAGATGTCTTAGGTTGCTGAATATCACATGTTACCTGTGCTACAGCTCTATAACGAAGTTGTACATAAATATCTTTTATCATCAAATTAAATATTATTATCTGTATTTCCAGAACATGGGCAAAAAAACTATAACCCAAATTTTTTTCATAAGTCTTTATTACTAATATATTCTATATTATTCTTTACTTATGTTTCTAACAAGGTAATTTTACACTTTTGCCATTCTTTTGCTTGACATTATAACAATGCATATCAAAGATACACATGATGTTACAGTAGATTTTAAATATTACAAATGGATCTCTATAAGATTATTAATTTAACTTATATTCTTCCACCCAAGTATCAAAGATACCATACAAACAACAATTATAAAAAAACTTAAAAATAAATATACCTTGTTTGACCAAGTAAAACCATGCAACTGCCCCAATTAGATCCAAAATAAATTTTAACCGGACGTGCTTCCAACAAATTTCTGCCATCTAATCGCTAAAAAGTATTTCAATTATTTTCAACCTTAAAATTTGTGAACATTATTAATTAAACATAAACAAATTCATACCGTGCCTTGTTCTACAGCTTTATTTACAAAGTTTCTTTCACAATTCGTCAGTAAAGATTCCTTCATGATTGTAAATATTTATTTACACATCAGCACGTGTGAAGCTCTTAAAATAAACATAACCTTTAATTTTAGTATCAACGAAAAATATTAATTTAATTGTGCCACATATATATTTTTAAAATTATTGATGTATGGATTAATTCCTTTCACATCTGCGAAATATAAAATAAATATAAAAGTCGAAAACATTTTTTAATACTGATAATTGATTTGTAAACATCAATCTATAAATCACTATTATAATTTTGAAAGAATCAATTTAAAATGTACATTTCAAGAGTTGCTTAAATTTAGAAATCTTTCTATATAATCAATTTCGCAACTACGTGTTTACTGTTAAAAGGATTGTACGTTTTAGAAGGATGATTCTAGAAACTATAACAAAACGTAAGTTAACATTTTTTTATAATAGAATTTAACATTGAAATTTACATTCATAACAAAAGTATCACGGCCATTTAATAGATAAAAAACATATAAAACATTACAGCTTTTTACAAATTAATCAATTTAAAAAGTTGGAATCATTTTAGAAGTCTCATTGTTGTATCTATTTTAAAAAATTATATTTTCGCGAACGCTTTTTGAAAACATTATCGTCATCGTCATCTAATTAGTCAAACGCAGAATTGTGGAAACAAAAAATTGTATATTTTATTCCGCGGGTACGATAAAACCGAAAAAATACCTTTACAATGGATGCAAAATATTATATTTATAAATGTTTTAAATTGCATCTTACGGCTCAAAAAATGCTTAGCCATCTAGCGGAAGAAGAAGAATTAGTAGAAGTAAATTTAAAACTCATTATCTTACGAAATATTGACTTTTTCAACTTACTAGACATCAGACTGCTTCAAATGACAATATTAAATTTAAAATGTGCTGCATATGCTATTAAATAGTAAAGCTAATAAAAACATAATACATAAGATTCATAATTGTTTTTAAGATTTAGTTCTACTAGTTTTAACTTTATATTGCTAACTAGCTAAGCATTTTGAGATGCATACGAAGCAATTTTTTAAAATTGTCGAATATAATGCTTCGAACTTCGAACTCACTGTAATGGCATCTTTCTGACTTTGGCGTAGAACAATTTATGAGCATTGACAAAAAATAAAAATGGTGTATTTTGCGAAAAAATGCAATTTTTTCTCTCTATAGTTCCACGTTTGACCGTTAGATGTTGATAGCGGTAATTTTTTTCAGAGTTTGCGAAAATATAAATTTTTAAAATACATACAACAGTTGGAGTCATATTCCAAAATGACTGCAACTTTTATATTTGAAAATTCAAGAACGTGCAAATTTAGTAATTTAGAAATATGACAGATTCAAAAGTTGAAAAAGTAAAGGAATAAAGAATTTGGGAATTTGAGTTTGACAATTTAGAAATTTAGGGCTTTTAAAACTTGAGATTTCAGAAATTTTTAAATTTAGAGCATGGATCACGAACTATAAATGTTAGCGTTCAAAACGTCAAAAATGCGCATGCGCGTTGCTCTTGGTTACAAAGCATACTAGAACCAATTAGAGCTGACATGCGCATAATGAGAAAAAACTTGGATGATGAGTATGATCTTCGATAAACAGAAGATATGAAATCTATATGTTATAGATATTATATACATGTATCTTATGTATAATTACTCCGCGAAATTTACGATGGATTTTTTGTAAATTCCAGAGCTTTTTATAGCATGGGTCCAGTTTTCAAGTAGCACTCTGAACTTCTCCGTAACTCTTTGGTCCTGTTTTTAACATATGAACTTCCCTTAATGTTTTTTTCGCAAAGATGTAAACATTTTTTATAGTTCTAATAACTGTAATTTAATTTTGGAGATAAGAGTTAAAACGTAAAAACAAATACAGTTGACAACAAGACGAATTCTGGAAAATCTTGTAAAAATAAATAATATTACAAAAAAGTCAGCTCATAAATGCGCGCGCGCGAACAGTGTATGTATGTGCACAGCACACAAGTGGCCATGCCCGGTCATATCTGCTTCAATCAGCTTGCTTTATGCGATCCGTTTTTTAATGTCCAGTTCTGTCGTCAATAATCCGAATTCCATGGGTCAATAACTATCAAATATCGTGTCTGTGAATATTTTGAATTTCAAGAAACCAGAATTTGAGTATTTAATGCAAATTGCATTTAAGTATCGTACGTGTTTCGTATATAATGCTGATCACTGTACGCGTGATACGTACGGATAGATGCGTATAGATAGGGCCGATCTGTAGAATGGATGCTTAATAAGCTACATTCTGCGTTGCTTATAATCGTTATTCACGAACTCTTTGAAACATTTACTTTTAATTATTATATGGTAAGTTATTGGTACGTTATTATTTACATTCTCTATCTAATTTTGCTCCGCTTATTATCAATTTCTTCTTTTAAATTGTACGTCGAAAGATAGCTTTTATATTGTGTTGTTGTAGCACCGATTGCCTTTGTACGTCATCTGTAGGTAAATATATGTTACATTTTCCTGTTTAATTATTCGCGAATCTTGAAGTATTTTAATATTTTATTATCCTTGTTTCTTTTTTTTTATTACTACTTCATTTTTATGTTTTCAATTATTTTTAACATTATTTAAGTTCTTTTAAGATGGTACATTGCACACATAATTTTTTCTGTTTGTACAGCAATGAAAAATCCGGTATTTCTCAAATTTACATAAAACTTGCGGAAGCATCTATTATGAAACATATGCAATTATAAAATATATTAAATTCATCAGAAAATTGCAAGGTTCCATGTAATTTTATAAAAACAATCCAACCACTATCAAAATAAATTGTTTAGTATCTTTGAGTTAATAATTATTGTTAGATTTCACACTTATTTCATTACATTATACATATTAATGTATTTACATTTAATATAATGTTTCACAAATATACAATAATATTATACTTCAGATTAATCTGAATTTTGAATAATATAACTTTTGATACATGCAAACACAAGTTTGTTTGTTTAAATTTGTTTATTAGAAACCATTAGACACACACTGACTAATATGTAATTACATTATAATGCTGTTTGTTTGACATAGCAGAGGCTCGGCTATGTTTTGGTACACAGCTTAATTTGAATTTGTATATACTGCTGTGGCTTTCTCATAATAATGATATCAATTTATTGCAATATAATACATAATTTTTAACAGTTATTTTTATATTAAAAAATTAAATATATTTTTCTGTTTGTTATGTAGCATATAGAAAAGTCGTACATAATGGTATTTTATTAAGGTCATGACAACAATTTATTATATATTTCACTTATATTATATTTGTGGTAAGTAGTAGTTACAATTGCTGTAAAATTCAAACTATATTTGAATATATTATTTTGAATATATCATACAAATAAAAAAATAAATTTTATGTCATGAAAATAATCTGAAAGTAGTAAAAGCGAATGAAATTCCTAATTATAATAAATGTTACATATAGACCATTGTGTTTTGGGAAAATTATTAATATTTTGAGAAAATCATTGTAAACAAAAATTTTATTCAATCATGGAATCGTCTGATAGAAAGAATGTTTATCTTACGAAAGCTGGTGATAATTCTTTAAATTCTGGAATGAGAGACACAATGATTGTTGGTCAAACAAATATGACACCAGGTAAGTACTTATGTTTTAGAAATATTTGTACTGTTATTGTATATAAGTGGTATATGTTAGTATAGTATAATATTTTTAAATATTGAATTAGCATATTGATTTATGAATATGTGTGTAATTGATAATTTAATTCTTAGAATGCGGTGAATCTGTAATGAAACCTGGAAATGTATCTAGTGTTTCAAATAATCAAGCAAAGTGGTCAAATACTCAAAGCAAAAATTTTATTATTAATGCAGTACCAGTGAAAAATGAAGTAAGCTTATTTTAAATAAATTATAAGTCAGGATATTATATATTAGTAGCTTATATGTTAATATAATTATATATTATTATTAGATTGTACATCTTGAAGACGGAGCACATTGCAATAAAAAAATGTATTATTATGATAGACATTACACAGGTCACGAAGAAACAGAGAGACCAACACGTAGAGGAACAAAACGATACAGAGACAAAGATGCACCCAAAAGAGCATTGTGTGTAATGTTAACATTAAAAATGTTAATTAATATTTGATGTTTTATTTATAAATGAATTTTTAGGTCTGCCTTTTTCTATTTTTGCCAAGAATTACGTGGAAAAATGAGAGAATTACATCCAGAAATGGGAGTAGGTGATATCGCCAAAGAGCTGGGAAAATTATGGATGAGTACAGATCTTCAAACTAAATCAAAATATATGGCAATTGCAGAAGAGGATAGAGCCAGATATGAGAGAGTAAGAAAACTTTACTATGCTTATATTTATACATTCATTAGGAAATTTTTAATTTTATATTTAATATTTTACTTTTTACTTTTTAATATTTTAGGAAATTATTGCATATAATAAAAGAGTAAAAAACTATGATCCGGAAGAAGTTGGACCCGTCTAAGTTTTTTCCTTAATTGGTTAAGGAAGAAAGGACAGTGTACTTTGTCCTAAATCAAGCACTCGCCAATTAAAAATGTATAACAATTTTACTAATAGTTTAGCATTGTCAATCGTTGTATATATTAAGTACACTGTTGACATTGATATCTAAAAACGAATCTTTCTGTATCAAATTTGGTTATAACTCTTGCAAATAGTATTTGCAAACAACTATCATTTTACATTAATTTTATAATTGGATGCTATTTTTTGTGAATAAGGTGTGCTAATATATTTACAAACGATACCTAATACATATTAATATCAATAGTAATAATAATGAAAACGATGATGCTGATGATGATAATAATAATAATAATAATAATATTATTATTATTAATGATAATGATAATCTATATTGCTAATAAATATGTTATACACAATTGAAGCACAATAACAAATAAAAGTCAAGCAGAGTGAGCTTTGTACAGTGCACTTTTCTTGTCTAATTACGCATTATTCATGTTTATAATGATAAAACTAGATATCAGGGACTATTTATATCTAAAACCCTGTATAGAATACATATTCCATGTATTTTGTTCTTTTTCCAATAAAGATAAAATCATTTAAAACATTATAATTTTTATATTTTTATCTCATCACCTATTTATTTCTTTTATCTTTAGTTTATAAGTGAAAAAAGTGTAAGACTGTAAAATTGAAAAAAATTATGAAAGGGGTCATGAAAGTATTGCCGCCAGTAATTGAAAATTTGAAAAGTTTGCAAATTAAAATTTATAAATTTCAAATTTTTTTAATGCAATAGCTTGTAGTTTAAACATTTCTGAATTCCTAAATGTCTAAATTTTTTTTTCCTCGCGAGTATAGGGGTTCGCTAAGAACGTGAACGAATTCATACAGTGAGACTTACCGTCGTCTCTAATAGAATTTATAAGTATAATTAATGCAATATAAATTTATAACAAGATTTTGTTTTAGTTAATTTATTTTCTTTTTTTGTAAAATTACACACCAATTTCCTTCATCATAATATACATTTTTTATTACAAAACTAGACACTTCTGAGCATAATTGTGGAAGTTCACCCTCTTCAAATACATGATAATACCTAAGAAAGTTTCCACCGCCTTTTCTTTTCCATGGAACAAGCATGTCAGTGGATGTAAAATTTGTACGATTTTCATGTATCGGTAACGACACGCCATATTCTGTTATTTTTTGAGTAGATACAGTATTTTCCTTTATATTTGAGCCATATTTTAGATAAGCTGTTTGAACGGAATCTTTTTCTTGTTCTTTTGCCCAAACATATATTAAGCATTTTCCATTCGGCCTAAGAACTCGTGCTAATTCGAAAATAGCTTGTTTTCTCCTTTCAGAAGTTGAAAGATGGTGAATTACAGCTATGCTTATTACTGCATCTATACTATTATCTCTGTATGGTAGGTATAAACAGTCAGACGAGAACACTTCAAAACCTTTACCATGACATATTTTCATTAAGTTTTGACTTCGATCGCATCCAATCTATAAAAATTCTCTTTATTAAAACAGTGATTATGTTACAAGAAACTATTGTATTAATTATACATTGAAATAAAACAAAAAGAGATCTATAAAAATAAGAAATTTGGGTACCTTAAATATATGTTTTTCCTCATAAAGATATTTACCATTTCCACAACCAACATCTAATAGTATATCACCTACATTTAAACTTTGAAGAAATTTTGATACATTAGGCCATTGTTTATGCCTTGTTTGATCAAAATGATGTGATATTTGATCATAAACCTGTATATTACAAATTTATTTAATAATGTTTTGAGTATAGATAAAATCATATACAAAATATATATTGTATTGCTTACTTTGTGCACATATAAATTTTCTATTCCTGAAGCAACTTCATTATCTATGATGTCACTGGTAGAATTTTGTTTGGTATCACAGTATTCTGGAAAATTGCATAAACAATTGCCCTTACGTACTTTTCGGAACGTAAATGATATTCTTGTCCCTCTTAATTGTGTTGTAATTCCATTTGTAGTTCTCATTACATCATTATGTTTTGGATAAATTCCATGTGACCATGCATATCGAGCTTCTCCTGACATAATTAACAATGAACGAGGAGGTAAAAGAATAGCTGCTTTTTTATGTTCTTGTTTAAAATTCATAACATATGCAGAACCCAATGACAGTGACAATATACTGTCTTCAAACACACTATGTGTGTCAATATGCGGAGGGATTCCTTAAAATGTAAAATATTATTAATTTGTCATTGTTTATATTTATACTACAATCAATTTTGTAAAACATACCTTGACCAGGTAAGTAATGATTAATTGTCAGCTGATCATAATCATATGGCACATTATGATATTTTTTAAATAGTACTTGTAAAAACTGATATTCTTCAGGAATAGGAGTAATAGGCTTATCAAGATTTACTTTATTTGAACCATACTGAAATTCATATCCAAAATGTTTGACTTTCCTATGTTTTAGATCACATGATTCTGATGTTAGAAAATATATATTAATATTATAAAATTATAAAATCTTATATACTATAATGTTTTATGTAAAAATATTAAAATTTGTTTTACTTTCATTGCACCAACTAATTGAATTTAATAACATTGTTTCTTCTTCTTCAGTTATAATATCCTCTATTAACTTCAGTCCAGGTGGAAAATCAGCAGACCAATCTTCATACTCTACATCGGGAACTATGTAAAATAAAATTATATAATACAACTTCTATTTTTCTTAATCTTGTTTCAATTAAGTACAGACAATTGATGATTAAATTGGTAAGAAAATATATATTCTATTTATATTAAAAGTATATTACATACCTGTTTCTGTAAATGCTGCATACAATGGTGTATTCTGTCCATTAATTTTTATGATACCATGAATTTTGTTATATAAATATGAAGCATCTTCTACTGAATATAATTTTATAAAACAATATGACTTATTCAATGGCATTATTAAATCATATTTGGCAATTATTGGATCTATAATGTCTTGTAACATTTCTCTTTGAAGCCCAGTTACTAAACCACCATTGCAAATCATTATATACTGCAATAAAGTATAAATATTATATAAATTATACAATTTTGTTAAAAAAAGAAACTTTTTATTCACCTTTGTTGGATTATTACAGCATTTAATATTCATATCTCTAAAAAGTCTATGATAAGCCCTCTTTTGTTTTCGATGACCTTTTTTACTTAGTTTCTCTTCCATCATTTTTCACAAATCTTGATTTATTCTTAACTACTTATTCTAAATACACACATATATTCATATTGAGTACATTTATATTTGTAAGAAAACATATAGTACTTTCTTTCATATATCAGACTAATCCACAAAAATATTTAGAGACAGAATTCATTACAATGTAGAGTAGCAGTTATTTAATTTATATAATAATTCATTCTGTAAATACGTAAATATACATTTATTTTTACACATGAAACTAAAAGGCAGAATTTAGAATAATAAAATCTTTGAAAAACTTCGTCCACCGAAAGAACATACCCACTGTGCAATGTGGGAAAGTTACTGAAGATAGTCGCGTTAGGCGAATCGAATATATACTCTTGATTTAAAAGACATTTAAAAATAATGCAGACGCACGATCTTCAGTTTATTAATTTTATTTTAGATTAGTATGATATTTTGTATCATTGTTATTCAAATAAATTAGTTTTAATTCAATCACTATATATAATCCTATTCCAAGCATTCCATTTATATGTTCCAATGTCAGTAACGTGTGATTATATCCATATTTACAACTTTTTTCGTCTTTATTACTTTTAAGATATTAAATGCATTTTAATGACATTATATAAAGTATGTAATCAATAGAAAATGTTTTGCAAATTCTAGCAATTCAAAAGAGTCAAATACTGTAGGGAAAGTAAGTAAGATTTTGTTAAATGTAATAAAATTGATTTTTTTTATCCTAGGTTATATTAGTTTATAATTAATTTTTAGGAGTTTAATTAATCTGAAGCATTAAAAGAAAATTAAAAATTGTTACAATTGTAAATGGACGTATTTATACATATAGAAAAAAGTATTTACAGGTATTATATATTTCTATTATTTTAAGCATCAGAAGCTTCAGAAATATGTATTATCAAAACAAAAACAAACAATTTTGTTCCAATTGTAAGAAGAATAGTTAAAAATGGAACATGAAGAAGAATTTTTAAATACTTTCTTTACCCAAGTTGCACAATTGTGTACTGATAAAGCTAAGGAGTTAATTGTAAGTAATTATTCTAGATTGTTTACTTTATTATCTTAATTTATTTCTAGTTTTATTAAAAGCATATTAACTTATATATAGCTTTCTAACTGCTCAACAATAATAGAATGATAATATTTACCTAAATAAACTTTATTGTACACTACCATAATATACAGCAAAATTATAAAATAATGAATAACAAATTAGTTGTTAATGTAACAATAATTTTAAGGTTGCTATATTGATGTTTAGGAAAAAGAACGTGGATCATGTCGTCAAACCCAAATGGGTCCATGGGGAATGCTGCTTATGCATTTACCTCAAATAGCTGTAGCAGAACATTTGTATGCGGATTTAGGCTTTCTTCATACTAAGAATAAAGGATTTTTAAGGAAAGATGTAAATATCTAGTTTAAAATATAATTAATTCATAAAATAATTGAATCAATGAGATAAAGAATAATAAAGGTCCAAAAAAAACATTTTGAGTTATTTGAATGGATAGCTTTAAATTTTGTATATCACTGGTGTGTTGGTTCTTTTTGCATTATTTCCATTCTATTATGCTAATCTAACTAAACATTCTTATATATAAAATTATTGTTAAAACTGTTTTCTAAACATTTAATTATAAAAACAAAACCATTAGATTTTTATTATGAAACCTTTTTGGATAAGAAAATTAAAAGATAATATAGTAGTACAACAAAAATTTCTTAATTTTCATATAGTGCATGTTGTAATTTTTTGAAGAAAAATTAGCATAACTAAAAAATGATTAATTTCTTTGTTGCTTAGTAGTAGTTTTTCAAGTACAGATTAAAATTTTTTTCATTTAGTATATATTTAACTAATTTCAATATGTCTTACATTTTTTTTTTTTGTGAGAATGGGAGGAAAAACAATACAAACCTATAGCAAGATACTGATTTTAGACTGATTAAACTAAAGAGATTATCTGAAATATACGTATAGGATACTTCTTTTTCATTGTTCTTAATTCCAATATGTAATTGTATGTATAATACTTTACATTTAGTTTTAGAAGTGTACAAAAATGACCAATTTTGGACTTGTACTGTTCTTTAACTCATCGATTCAATTATAAAATTAATTTAATGTCTAGCATTCATTGTGTTAGAATTCACTGAGAACAGTGTATGAATTATTAAAATCCGATTTGAAGAGGGTGGAGGAAATGACTAGAGGAACCAATTCCATTGGAGCAACAGTTGCTGAGGTTTCTAATCAACTGTGTCAATATATTACAGCAAAAATACAATTGATAGATTTGTTAGTATATTATTACTTCAGTATATTATTAAATATTTTGTCTAATGTCATTTTGTTTTAGTTATGAGAAAATGTATAATATGAGTATAAATAGTAAAGCTATGAAATATCAAGAATTATTAGAATCTATTGAAGGAATTACAGAGGCTCATTCTTTATCTTGTTCACATTTAGCATTAACTGCTATTAAAACAAGTTTAACGTAAGTATAAGCAGAAATTTATTTATTTAACAAACATAATAGTTGTGATATATAATGGAATATTCTAAATTTAAAGTATGTTTTTATCAGATTAGAATGTGAAATATTAGTACAGTTAACAAAAGCACAAGTTGAACTTCAACATTGGAGATTCTTGTCAACATTAATGGCTCTTTATGGTGCGCAAACACGTATGTCCGCATGGGAAAGAACTTTACAAAGTAAAGAGGTCAGTAACAAACAGATGTGTCCATTTTAAGTGAATTTAATGGAATACTTTAGAAGAAACTGAGGATATTAGAAAAATGTTTTTATAAAAGTTATTTAGTATAGAAGGAGATATAATCCACTTTAAACGAATTTTTAGCTATATATTGCAATGTGAAAGCCCCAAATCTTCAATTTTTTAAATATTTTTAGTTTTTTTTCTGTAATATCTCAACAAAGTCTAATTAGAATGGACATATTGTATGTAAAGAATAAAACATGTAAAAGTATTTAATCACCAAATATAACATTTTCAGTCATGGAAGTTAGGTTTTGGCACTTCTTTTCTGAAGGCAAATCAACAACCAGCATTATATCAGTGGTTAGTGAAGCTACGCAGTAATATACTAGCTAAATGCTCATTATATTTTCATACTACTTTAAGTCAACAAGCTAATCCAGGGGAAATGAGAAGCATCATGAACAAACAAAACGTGGATTACTATCATAAGTAAAACTTCATTAACTTTTTTAATGTATTAAAGTTATGTAAATCACCAGTCATCAAAATAAATGTGTATAATTACATATTTTAGAATACAAAGTTTTCAACGTAAACATGATGTTCTAGCGGTTTTAATTGTATTTGATTCCCGAGGAGTAGAAGATGCAGGTCCAGGTTATAGGCATCCTCGTAGAGAACCAAATGTGACTGAACAATTTCCTGTGGTTCTCAGTTGCCCTAGTGTAAATTTATATGGCTTATAAGTGACTACATTTATTACCCTTAGATCTATGATAAAAAATTTTGTTTTCTAAATTAATATTTTATGTTTTAGGCATTTGCCCAAAAACCATCATTGTATTTGGATAACGTACAAAAACGAATTAAAGAACGTCATGCAGAACTTCTTGCCATGGATAAAATTGTGTATAGTAAAAATGTAAAAGTATGTTACTAGCTTAATAGTAGTCAATCAACCGTATTAACTAATATTCTTGCAGGACGTGTGTACATATGCAATGTACAATACTGATCCTAGAATGACTTTAATTACTGTGTTCGAAAGCGGCAAACAAAAGGATAAAGAAACTCATGTAACATCATTTATGACAGACCTATGTACGCAAATTAGATGTAATAAGGTTTACGAATCATTAAAATTATCAAAATGAAGAATAATTCGGATGTACATACAAATGCTATAACAATACCAAAGATTGTAGCGCGCAAAAATCAAAAGTTATTTAAATAACATATGTTACTATAATGTTGTATAGAAATAAAATTTTTATTACTGTTTAATGATATACCATATTACTATTTTTTCATGAATAACATTTTATTTTTGGTCAATGATATTGTTATTAAAAAAAAATACGTTATAAATAATAAATTTAATTATTCGAATAAAATTAGATAATTTTTATTTTTATTAAAAATATATACAAAATTTTGTTACAATTGAATACAAACTATTACAACGACATAATTGCTCGTTTCAATGCCTTTTCTTTATTTTTTCTAACTCTGTTTTTATGTTTACTGCTTTTAGTTGCGTCTCTGAAAAATTGTATTCCTTCCTTCTCTTCAATAACGCGTTGCAAATACATCATTCCGTGTAAATTAAAACCAATCATATCCTAAAAGTAACATGTTTTAATTATATTGAATATTAAAACAATTATTTAAATACGATTTATATAAAAAAATTATTACCTTTAGATTGGAAACTTTTTTTATAGCAAGTTCTTTCACAGTTTCTAATACAGGCAAAAGTTCTTCTGTACTTATAATAGGACCATGATGAGCTTGTATTAAACATAGGGCTAATCTTGCTATTAATTCCGTGTGATAATCTGATTGTAATAATTTGGGAAGCATTTTGAGAATTTTACAAGCAATCGAGTATGGTAATAATAATAATGTTTCTTCTAAATCACTAAAAAATAGTGTTTATATTCTATTTATTTTTATTATGTTTTATACTTACGTACATACAATTTATATGAGTATCTTTTACCTTGCTCTGATTCGTTTGATTGTTTCTAAAAAGTAATCATCTGTGGTTGTACAATTGTAAGCTTGCATTTGTAAAGGAACAGGAGGCGTTGTATTGATACCTAATGCTGCCGCTTTTAATAATTGTTCGTTATATTCTTCAGATACTTCTAAACATTCCATTATCAATTCAGCCTAAAAATATATATTATATATTTTTATATTATATATTATATAACAATTAGAAATTGAGGCTTTAATATTTAATGCTCTATTTCTTACTCCTTTTTCACTAGACACAGTTTTTCTTGAAGGTAAAGATTGTTGTTTTTGCCCTGGCACAACGGTAGTATCTCCAGTAGCTAATTCATTTTCTTGACGTTCCCTCTCCTCTTCTTCTTCATCTTGAAGAACTAAAGGTTCTGAAGTTCGTTCGTATAACCTAACGACTTTATCCGATCCACAAGATACGACATAAATACCATTTGGAGAGACAGCACAATTCCAAGCTTCTCCTGTATGACCCTAAATAAATGAATATTTTATGATTGATTTTTCATTATATTCAATAATGTTATTTACAAAACATTTTTCAAAAGATTTAATTACATGCAATGTTACAATTTTGTGGAAACTATCAGCGTCCCATTCTTTTATTCTTCCATCTTTTCCACAAGTGAAAACATAATGTGTACCAGGAACGAATGATAATCCTGTGACAGAATCATCATGAGCAAATATTGATTTATGACAATCTCCGAAATCGAGACCCCAAATTTTAATATTTCGATCTGCAGAACCAGTGGTAATGAGTGTTGAGTCACTGGATATATCCATACATAAAACCGGTAATTTATGTCCATAAAGTGAGATAAAAAACTAAATCAAAATTAAATAAATTTTAGAAACTTCATTCCAACAAAATAAATTATTATATCTTTGAATAATCACCTTAAATGTATCAAGGAAGAAAATTTTTATAGTAGAATCAAGCAATGCGACTGCAACAAATCTATTATTAGGACTTATTCTTACGCATAATACAGTATCCTCTAGTTTTAAAGTTTTTAAATGTAGTACAGACAAAACTTTCGCCTTTATTTCTCTATCGGGATCTTCGATAAGTTCAAAATTCCAAAATTTTACTGTTTGATCACCCCCACCACTAGCTACTCCTTTCTATAAAATTGTAAATAAATAATGTAAATCTATACTCGCAATTAAACTATTATAATTATTATTATGATAAAAATAGAATATAATGTAAATAAAGAATACCTTATCAGGAAATAGCGTAACGCTCCAAAGTTCCTTTGAATGTGCAGGTACTTCTTCTAAAATATCACCTGCTGTAATATCTATAATCAACATTTTACCATCTTTCAAACCTACTATTAAATGTCTGTCTCCTGGCACAAACGTTAATGTTAAAGCATAACCACATTGTACAGTACGTAAACATGCTAAAGTCGGTCTAAAATAATAGGGAATGATGTAATTTAAGAAAATATTCTGATAAACTTTAATTCATTATATTCATACCTATTCCATAATTTTACAGAATCTCCACTAGCTGTTGCAAAAGCCAAATTATCAGAGCTAAAACAAACAGCACGAACGTCCGTACGATGACCATGAATCGTTATTGATCTCAATTGTTTTATTTCAATATCTTTTTCTTGGGTAAGTAAAGAATATAACTCTATAGAATTATTATTAACTCCAACACATATCTGAAATAATAAAAAAGGTTAAATAAATATACATTTAAAATAAAGTTTAGTAAAAGAAATAAGTATTCATTATAACTTACTCTGAGTTCACCTCCTCTACCCATTACCATGTCTAATCCTTTAGCTTTAGCAGATATTTTGATAATAGGTAAACGAATGATTTCATCCTTTATAGTTGGTACTTTCGAAACATTTTCTTCTATATTACTTCCATTTCTATTTACAAGACATGTGTATCATATTAACAAAAATCTAGGAATTTATAAAGTATCTAGTTTGAATTAATTTATGTACTTCTCTGCCTTTTTCCGTTCCTTCCGTAATCGTTTAGCAACATTTTCTTTTACTTTGGTATCAGGTAATAATTGAAATAGATCCACTGTATTATCTACTCCATGACATCCAATAATAGTATGCGTTGTATCAACTTCAAGAGATACAACTCGTCCACGGCTGCTTCTCAGTATACTTCCAATTTTCTCACACCTCAAAGGATGTTTCTATTAAAAATATATGCATTAAATAAAAAAATTGTACTTGTGTGCATAAATACAAATTAACAGAGTTATACCATGTCGCTAACTTCAGCATCATCAGTAAGAGTTAATTCTTGCAAATTAATATCTACAGTTTCTGTATCAGTAAAAAATATTTTCCATACACGTAATTCATTATCATTACAACCAGTTACTAAATAATGATCATTTTTAACCAAAGCTAGACTCCAAACCTTAAAAAATCAATTATTAATTATTAATAATAACTATATAGAAAATCAACATCTAAATGTTAATAATATATGTACCTCTGTTCTATGACCAACAAGAGTTCTAAAATTATGTTCAGTATCAATATCCCAAAATTTTACAAATGTATCTTTACTGGCACTAATAATAATATTATGATTACTCATAAATACTAGTTTAGTTATTACACCTTTATGCCCACTCAGTCGACATATTCCAGTTTCAGCTACTATGTCCCAAAGAATAATGTCTGTATCCTAGAATACAATATATATAGATTAATAATTTCCTCTTTTTTTTCTTACACGAAATACCTTACCTTAGAACCAGAAGCTAACCTATGTCCTTTGCTGTCATATACTAATGTTGTAATTTCAGATCGATGACCTACAAATATACTTGTATTTTCTCCCGATTCCAAATTAAAAGTTTTTATAGTACCGTCCATGTAACCAACTGCTATATGTTGTTTATTAGGAGATGCAGCTAAACATGTTACAGTTGCTTTATCTCCAGATAATACTTGAGCCTGAAATAAAATAATTATAATGATTATCAAAGTTTCTGTTAGAAGTACATAAATATTTTATGACATACCTTTTCTCCTAAACGTAAATCCCATACAAAAACATGTTCACATGCACCAACTGCCACGAATCTACCTTCTTGGCCTTGTAATGTTACAAACACAATATTACACGCAGGACTAACAATAATGTTTGTATTTCCTGCTGGTACATATCTCAAATATTGCTTTGTTAAACCCATTTTGCATTTATTAAATAGTGTACCAAAATATACTCATAAAAACATTTATTTTCATTACAAATATATGGTATATAAGTTGAAGAGCTATTTTATATTACAAATTTTCATACTGAAATATGTATTGAACAATTAGAAAATATAACTTAAAATATCACTTATTTAATATTGATGATTAAACGTGGAAATTTTGTTTTACATTTTAGGTTAGGAATTCACATAACACGTGAGTGATGCTTTCCGCTATAACATTTGACATGGTTGAATAATGAAGTTAGAACCACAAGTTTCCCTCCACATGGACTTTCATGCGCATAACTAGTGGCGCTGTCATCCTTTGTAAGGTACGAGGATTCAGTAAGATTGTAAATTTTCAAGTTTATAAATTTCCAAAGGAAAATTTTCAAGATCACGAACTTTTGAAAGTACAGATTTGTAAACTTTCAACCGTTATACATAAAAACCGGTTTCTGTATTAAGGATTTCAAAAAATTTATACTGCTTTTAAATGAATCTAATTTCATGTCAACCTCTAATAATTAGAAATCTATTTGTTTCTTTATATTATTAATATTGGCTTTCGAAGTATTTCCATTAATTTTACAACATTGAAAAGTTGAAAAAGAAAGACATATTAAAATAATTATTGTACAAAATATATTTTAAGCATATATTACAGAAATGATTATTACAAACAATTTATAATAAAATGACAAATTATGTATCACAAGAAAATATAGATGAATGTGTTACAGAGAAATGACAAATATTTATTACGAATAAATTGTTGATGAATGTGCACGTATAAACCATTACTTACTGAACATTACATTTACATACACACTATGCACATGCGCGTTTCAGTATATTACGTTGAAATTATATCTTCACTCTGTTTCATTTGGAATGGGCATTTAAATTGGTTATGCCATTCTTTCTCTTTCTAAAAGTAGTTTCCTTGTCAGAATTCGCCTCTTGTTGAATCCCTTTTTTTTGGCTACATATATATTGTATGTATGTGTACATACTATATAATAAGACAGACTGTATATAGCATATATATACACTGTGCATTACGTGCGTGGTAATTCGATGTTTGGTTGAATAATGTGGAAGAGTGGCTAAATTAGTGTTCTTGAATGAATGTCTAACTTTAGTCGTTATAAAAGTATAGTAAATGTAATTTTTAATGGAAAGAACAGTATTCATACAATAAATGAATAATTTATATAAAAAATAATATATATTGATTTTCATATAAGATGTTACATGTAAATTTGTTAACGAAAATGTTCCATTATTCTGCACATGGTGTATCTAAATCAGTGTTTTACTGTATAGTTAATAATAATAAAATAAATATTAATGCTGTACGATTGTTTTACAACGATAAAGAAAGTATCAACCACTTCTTGCAATATCTACGTAAACGACATAGTATGATGCAAATGAAGTATGAAGATGATGAAAGAAAAGCTGAAACTAAAACATATGATGAATCAACACCTATAAAATCTTTATTATTCTATAAACCTAATGCACCTGAGATGCATGATTTCTTTACATTTAATTGGAAATATTGGTGGGAGCATAAAAAACTGCAATACAGAAAAATAGCACAAAAATATAGATATGATAAAAATGAAGTATTAGGTCCTGACATAGCAACAGCTAAATTTATCTTAATATCTGGTGGTAGAGTGAAGTTTGCAAATCAGAATGATTGGATAGATGCTACTAACAAAAAGGAAATTTCCAAAATTCCAACTGATTATCAACCAGAATTTATTTTAGAGGGATTAGATTTAAGAGGATATCCTCTCGAATATGAGAACCTTTATACTATATGCAATTTATATCACCTAAAATGGCTTAGTTTAAGAGGTTGTGATACAATTAATGATTGGAGTATAGATAAATTAGCTGCAGAATATCCAAACTTAGAATATCTTGATATATCGGAATGTAAAAATGTAACAGATAGAGGATTACAGGCTTTATATAAAACACCTAATTTGAAACAATTAATTGTAACAGATTTCACTACATCTGCAGCATTCGAGTTAACTTGTTTACTATTACAAGATATTAATCCATATCTAAACTGTAAAATTCTAAAACCAGAAAAGGAATTATTATTAAACCATGGGTAATGAAAAATAAATATAATTATTAATAATACTATAGCACATTTTATAAAATATTTACTATTATGTATTATAAAAATAATTATAAAATTTAATTTTTTGTACAAAAATTAAGTATTCCTTATTAATTTATTCTTTTCTCTGCGCTTTTTTACATAGTATAATTCTGCCTTATTTGTAATTCCATAGGCTTTGATATTTTCATTATCATTTACCAGTTTTACATTATCAAAGCATAAATAATACTTTTTCCAAACATGTTTCCAACTTATTTTCTTCTTCACATTTTCCCTTTTTAAAGATAAATTTGTGTGACGCTTTATAGCTTTCTTGAGATTCAAAACTGAAGTATTGTGGGGAGGTACCTAAACATAAAAAAGATGTTTTTAAATTGTTCTAATAAATACTTGTATAATGTTAAATTTTGTTTAATTACATTATAATTTCATAGCAATTATTAAAATAAAAAATTTATATAAAATAATATTACCACAATTCCAAGCTTTGGTAGTTCCCCACGATTCAAATATAGAGTTATTGCTTGCCCTTGTGCAACTGCAATTTGAGATTTAAGTTCTTCAACTGTAACATCCGACGGTAAACCAGAAAATAGTGGATCGCTTTCTATTATATTGTCAATAGCTTCTTTCGTTAGTTTTACTAACTCGTTATGATCAAGTTCTGCTTGTTTATTGATTATTGCTTCGTTCTTAAATTGATTTTTATTTTCGTGTTCTACATCTCCTAATTCATCGTCTTTAACAGTACACCGTGCTTGATCCATTCTTTATTGGTGCCGTTATAAAGAATGTAGGAATCATAAATGAACAAAGAAAGGCATTAAATAATAAAATACTATTAACTTTTCATGCTTTCTGCAAACAAGAGATAAATATATGTTATATAGTTAAAACATATATGAAGCATTTATTTGTATCTGTTGATCAGATCTCTCGAATTACGAGTTTTCGTTCATTCTGCGCATATCGACTCTGATTGGTTCTACAAAATCCGTAAGCACAGGTAATACGCAAGCGCCTTCATAATTGTGATGTTAAGCATATATATTTAGTGGTCTTTAATTTTGTATTCTTCCTAAATTACCGATTTAATTCGTCGAAAAAATTATTGCTATCAACATGCATGAAAAAAAGGATGATATCGAATTCATTTTTCCATTTTTGGCTATTAGGCAATGGTGCTTAAAGGCTATGTATGTATAGTAACCATTCAATAAACTACCTATGTGTTTTTCCAGTACGCTCTCAGAGATCCATGAGAATTTTGAATTTTCAAATAATATAAACACAGTTGTTTATCGCTGACCATTATATTTTCTAGCTATTTGTATATTTTGTCTGCTGTATATATGACTGATGAAGTAGAAGGAAAATCATGGTGGGGCAGTACAAATAACAGAGGTAGGGTCTCCCAGTTCAGTCAAGCTGCGCGAAACGACCCTATTCTGTCGCCGAATTGACTATACATATAACCGTTGCTGAAAAGCATTCAACTATACCGTTTGCTCAGAGTTAACGCCTGCGCACATAGTATTTATTAGTGCAATGAGGGCGCGGTTGTCACCGATCAATCTCGGCTGCATTTGTATGTATGCAGTTCATCCTAAAACTTTGTGAGCGTAGTGTGCTTTACGTACGTACATATTGTGGTACTCTAAAACGTTCGTTGAAGTGCGATAATTTTCAGTTAAATTTATATAATTTGACGTATAGATTTCGCGCAAAAAGTGTTTTGATACCTTAATTCGAAGCGAACTGAAGTCAAAACATTCATCGAGATGACGATTATCACAAAGGCCCTTACCGAGAAGAAGGCGGACAAAAAGGAACAAGCCTTGTTTGTTGAAGAGAATGCAGCGGTTAGCATTACTTTTAATCTAACAATTTTTATTATTTTAAACAGAAATAATTGATGAACGAATTTTTTAGATGTTTTGAATATAATCTGTTGTCTATAAATAAACATAAAGTCTTTGATCACTTTAAACGAGCTAATTATTGATAATTTAATGTTATTCCATGTATATTCATTATCATAATTGTTATTATTATCTTTGTTTTTTAATAGGAACATAATGTATACTTGACATGTTTCACAATGTCATTTGATAATAGTTGATAACATGTATTTAGTATTATCACAGTGTCAGTGTTATTGCAGTTGATTTATGAACTAAGGGGTTCAGTGGTTGAGGGGCACATACCACATTTACATAAATTAATTAATTTTTAATTTTTTGTATTGTCAACAAACTAACATGAAAAAACTAATTTTCATAAAAACTTGTGGTATTGTGATTTTTCCTCACTAAGCTCTTCAATTCTCTAATGACAATGAAATTCTTTGTTTAAAAGTTTCTGACTCCACAAATAAAATTATGTTTAATAGCTTTGATGCTTGTAATTTTAATTAACATCAGCTTTCGATGTTTATAATAAACATTTTATTATAATTTGCTTTGTGTGAACAAATAATTTTTATTAAATAGGAAACTTCAAAGAGAGATCCAGAGGCACAGCGCCAAACATCTGATGTAGGAGGTCACTTTTTTGTTTCGCGAAGAAGCATACATCACATTCATGTGACAGCGACATTTTCACTGTTCCTTGTTGCATTGATGATTCTAATAATTGGCGTAATTGGAGGTTTATATATATACAGGCAATATGCGCGAATACAAATGCATAGATTCAGAACAGGATGGTACAGCATTCCATACGATAATTCAAATAAACCATCTTATGCTGAAAGTGCTGCCCAACAAGGTTTAATGGCAGATTTAGATTTGTTTTTAAGAAGTTCAATAAAAGATTCACAGCAAGAAGCTACAAGTATTGAAAAGAATGTTGATAGTGATATTAGTAGTTTCTTCAAGGAACAGTTTGAATTTGATTTGGAGAATGAGCATTATGAGAAAATTGATGTGCCTGATTTTCGTGGTGGTCGTCAAGGCAGATTCATACATGATTTTAACACTGTAAGTTTAATAAATTAAAAAGTACTGAAAATGGTATTTGTGACAAGTGCTGACATACAGCCATTCATGTCCTGGAGACATTTATATTCCCAACAATCATTTTGCACATAATTACTATTACCAGTTAGTATCTGGATTAAGCCACCTATATTTGTAGGAAATTATATATTTAATAAAGAACACAAGAATACAAAAATGCAGAATAATACTATTAAATATACTAAAATTTAATTTGATATTAAATGTGGAATCAAAATATTTTTTTTTAAATTTACAGTTTTAGCTGCATCTTTTAAACTCATTCATAACTCTTTCCCAACTACTTTCTTTTCATGCAACTTAACTACTTTGCATTCATAGTTTAACAGTAAAATACTTTGCAATATTTATTTTGATTAATTATATCAATATTCATATTACTTTCACATTACAATTATTTTGAATCAACTTATATAATAATGCCAAAAAGATCTTGAAAAAATATTTTATGATTTAAATAGTATATAATAATATGTTAATATATATATGCAGTTAAAACATCTTTCCTCATAATTAGGTACAAGTTTTTGTAAATATTAAATTTTAAATCTTAAAGAATACATTTTTCTTACCAAATACTCCAAAACTTGTCATTACTGCCAGGTGGCACTCATAGGGCAGATTCTTTTATCCATAAAGGATTAATATAATGAATTACAGTTTCAAGTTTATATTTTATTTTACTATAGAACAAAACTGGAATCATTGATGTTGATGGTCAATGCTGTTTTGTTATGCCACTCAATCGTCAAACAGTATTACCTCCACGCAGTATGTATGATCTTCTCAGGAAAATATACAATGGTAAATTTAATTATATTTATGAAAAAGATACATATATTTTTCAATTTATTTACATTAACTTATCATCTATTTACAAATGTTTCAGGCTATTATGAAGTAGATACAGAAATTGTGCGTGAAACAATGAAAGTAGTAACACCACCAATTACTGATTTATCAGTGGTTGGTACTTATATAGCCCGTGAATGTCAGGATTTACCAACATACATGTTAACAAAAGTGAATTCAAATGGTCAGTTATTAAAACATAATATTACATAGTGAATATAACATTTTCTACTATAATTAATTTGTGTACTTTTTACTTTGCAGTTGTTAAACGTAGCATATCAAGTGGTGTATTTGGACAGTTCGCAGGAAAAAATATTATAGAGTTTGATATATTGAATTTAGATGATGTTGAAGCATATAACAAAAGTTCGAAAAATTAAATGGAAAGGATTTATTATTATTTTAGAATATTTACCATCAGTAGATCAATGTATAAAAATTGTATCCAGCTCAGCAAACTTAGGTAATTCCTCTGTAAATTCCAGCAAACCTTATTCCTACCTAACTATTCTTTCTTTAAAAGCTACTTGATCAATAACTAGTTATTTTTAAATATGTCTACATTTACTTTCAAAATATTAAGTCTTCCCATAATTTTCTGTCTTAGCTTCGAATCAGTAAAGTTATAATGAAAATAAAAAATATTAATTATTATACATCAGTTTAACATTTTCAGAAAGTTAATTCAATAGTAAGATAACTATATATAGCTAATGTGATTAAAAAATTATTCCAATTTTACGAAATATTCTGAATATACATATATGCAAATTAAGTTTCAGTGAAATGCTGATGGTGCTTATTTATCAGGTAGAAATGCATATTATTTTTCTTTCATTTAACTTTTATGCTTAAATTGTTTAACGATACAGTTTCAGTAAAATGATAGAAATAATTCATGTTGCAATAATTGTACATCTACTGCATAGTCATATGATGCATGAATTAATAATTGTACAAAGTAACAATTATATTGTGTTACAAATCATATAATAATTTTATAAATCATGGATTGAAACATTTTTACTAAAAATATTTTATAAATTTGTTCAAAAGTAATAATCATTTGAAGAATTAACTAAAATATGTTCATACCATATCTGTTTTTCGTTAGATAATAACATAAATGTGGTATAGTAACACATGTGATCTGTTAAAATTTAACATTAAAATATGTATTAAAAATGGTAAAACATAGATAATAAAGATACTGTGACCAGATTAATAGTGTGAGTATATTAAACTTCCTTTTCTTCTTGCATATACTAAACTTATTAAAGCTATACTAAACATCCTGGTTTTGTAATATAGTTGTTTTAAATTTTATTTTTAGTAGTACTTACAAGTTAAAAGGGCGTTGGTATAGTGTTATTATTCCGTGCTTAATGGCTTAAAATTTTATATAATAGGCCTATGCACTATGCATTCATTCTTTCACAGCTTAAATTAATTTTTTTTAAATTATTAATTATTCACATTGCAGCGCGTTTTGCGATACATACATATATATAATATGTATACATTTTAATTAGAAAAGTTCGGACTTTTATTGTATTTTCATGTTACAAACAGGGTGATTCACCTATTTAAGTATGCCATATGAATGATTAGATTGTATGAAGAGTTAGTGCATTTTCTATGTGATGACATTACATATGTATAGTGTTCTACTGTTATAAGTTCTATTAAAACAAGAAATTGAATGGTAATTAGAAAAAAATAATAGAATATATGGATTCCAAAACTAATAATTACTGAAATATGAAGTAAATTATTCATAATTCAAGTGATGCAGATTTTATATTCCGAAAAATTTATCAACATTCCTTGAAGAATGTTTGGTAATTATTACTTTCTGAACCTGTTTACCCTAACAATTATTTATTTAGCACTCAACACATTACTTATAGACTTCCACTTACTGATTACAATTACAAAACTCAAAGTGACCTTCATATTTTCATAAGAAACAAAATAGTAATAAATTAATTATTATAATTGCTTGATAGGAACTTCATAATTTTTGTTTCAACTACTTTTTCATATAATAAGTAGTGTATAAGTATATAATTTAGGTGGCATACTTAAGTAAGTCATGTATTCCATTTCTTCATAAGTCAGTAACACCAAACAATCTCAAATTTAACAAATCTATTCTGTTTTTATCTATTAAGTGAAATTTTGTTCGTTTTTAGAATTTTTCCATTTTCTTCTTTTACTTCCTTCTGTTACCTACCCGTCATCTGCTGTTATTTATATACGACGTTCCATCCCCTTTTTGCAAAGGCGAAAACGGACTCTAAAGGATTGGAACATTCTTAAGATTCTGATAAGCATATCGCTGACCACAGGATATACAAATCTATGGTAAGTATTAGATAAAATATGTATATACATTATAAAATAGAGTGTTAGTTAATTTTATATCCTAGTTAGATTAGATTCTAAAAATTAGAATGGCATTCTTCCTTTTACAATACATTTTTATTACCCTTTTTTAACACCAATATTTTCTGTCATAGGCATTTATGAAAATTAAAAATACAAATATGGATCCGTGTTTTTCTTTCAAATAACATTTAAAGAAAATAAATCAGCAAAAAACTTGATTATTTTATATGATTAATGTGATAAAACATGTGAATTTTTAATACGTGTGTACTTGCAATATTTTTCAAACAATGAAGGCACATGAGAAGATAAAAAAATATAATACTAAAAAAATGAGGAATTCTTGAAATATTTCAAAATCAAAAGTTAGCTATTTAATATAGGAATTTAAATATTTTACAGTTGAATGTTCAACATGATAACAACATATACACTTTTGCATTATAAAAGGTGCGTTTGTCTTTTTTTATTAATGGAACTGCATATTTGTTTATACAGGGTGTTACCTGTAACACTACTCATGATTCTTCTCCCACTTGCAATGATCGAGTCAAACATAAACATTACGTTTCCGGCCCAAAATTCTCGAACGTAAATCGTAGGTTAAGGGGTTAATATAAACATACAAGGCGTAACCTATAAAATTACTCAAGGTTTTTCTTCCAGTTGCAGCCACCATACGAAAAAAAGTTTGGAACAATATTTGCAGGGTATGAAGTGCACAATAGATATTAGTAAAGAAAATTGTGAAAACAGTTTGTTCTCTTCGCAAAGTCAAGGTCACCTTGGGTTTTTTAAATAGGAACATACATTTTTTTTTATTCATAGCTTTAGAGGACATCAAGACGAATTCAAAACATATATTACATGATATTTTTATTAACATATTACTCGATTTACAGAAGTGGAAATGTGAAATACTTAGCTTTTGACTTTGATAGTGTAACCATTATTTGGTTCCAAAGAGATTACTGAATGCAAACACGCGACTAGAATGTAAGAAAAATACACTTTATTTAATTACATGTTTAAAATGTATATCGCCTTCCATCGCGTAATATTCCGGCCTTTCACTTCACATTGTGTAATTTTGATATTCTGTGGGTTGATCCAATTGAAATACAATTGGTAGCTACTTTCCGTATTGATGTTAACGGATTTTCTTCAAAATGCAGCAGAACTTCAAACTTCTTTGCTCCAGATAAAATTTCCGAATAAATGTGTATTTTATTTTTTACGGAATTCGTTTCGCCTAGAACACTACTAAAACAAACTGTTTCTAACTTGGTATCACTATTTCAAAATTCTTCTCGGTATTTTCCTTTGCTATATCTTTTATTTTTACCGCATTCGTAATAAATGTGCACCATATCTGTTTTCTCTTGCTCCAAATAACGATGCATTGTCGAATATCACTAAATGCCTTGTAAAATAATACTGAAATAATTTTGCACGCTTTATAGTCCAAATAAATATTCTAACAATAGCAACACCAACTTAATAATAACACAAAACTACGAAATGTGTATTCTAGCTAATGAAAGTCACATTGTACATGAAATGTCAAAATACCAATAAAAAATATCGGTAATAGTATTATAATACGAAATATTCGAAAAGAAAGAATATTTTTTGACCTTGAGTTAAAAATAATTCAAATATGAAAAATTGATATATTTCCACATATTGCCAGGAAAAAATATTCATACTTTTTCCACATTCACTTTTTTGAATTCCTTAACATTTACGCAAGAAACGCTGGGTATGGCTATCTTGTGATTTCATGAAAAATAATTTTAAAATGATCCTAAAAAAAAATTAGCTAAACATTAAATTTTATAATACTCATAAAATTATATAGAAATTGTAGTATACATTTTAAGACAGAGCATTGTAAAATATGACCTTGAACCTGTCAATAATTGGATACTTTACTTACTATCTTATTTTTTATTTAATATTCAATTACATTGAAATATCACTACTAAAGTATCTAATTAAGTAATTAGTGAAGAATTTTGCAATTAGGTAATTTTTAATTATTTTTAGCATACATTATATTCATTAAAATTTAATTTTATTGTACCGAAAAATAATACAACCACTTATCGCATATGTTCCATTTATTATTTTCAACAATTTTTATCATTTTTACTTCGATATATTAGTAAAAAGAATAATTTCAATATAGTCTTACAATAATTACATAATCACATGTATTATAATAATATTATTTGAACATAATTAATTGTTAAAAAACAAATACAAATCGGTATCGAGATTTGAACCGAAAATTTCTTAAATGTTCAACCACTATTAGTACCTTTTAAACAATAAATTGTTTGCTTCCAAAACGAGATATAGGTATGTATACATACATGAAAGAAATTCAGTGGCATGGCAGTTTCATCAACGAATGAGTGTAATTGTACTTGCGAAGTTACCGATCGTAAAAAGATACAAAATGTAAATGTCATTCTTATTAATGATTGGTAATTACAGCTAACACACCTGTCCCCTACTGTTCAAGTCTAGACTTATTCAAAACTCAACGTTCAGGTTCCAATTTTTTTTATCAGAAGCAGTTGTGAATTTAACCTTTTAATTAAATTAATTGACTCAAATTAATAATCGTTCAAGGAGTCTTACATTAGAGTAAATAATAATTAAAGTTTTATGTAGTTTGCATTGTAAAATTTTACAAATCACAAGAATATGTAACTTAAAAATCATATTATAACACAGAACCATGTCCGTGAATTACGCTGAGACATTGTACGCATGCTAGAAAACAAGGCACAAAAATATTATGTGTGTACTCTTACAATGATAGTACAGTAAAACCCTTATTAAGGGACACTTTTTGAGGGATACATAAAAACTAATTACGTCATCATTAAGAGTGATCCATTTGGTTTTTCTGGGTTAAGCGTCTTTGTAAAAAATTGACTGCGCATGTCTACCTTTTATAGTTTAGGACTGCGCAGGGACTGAAGGTGAATTTAACTAATTAAATTCACGTGCATAGCACAGGCATTCCACGAGTTAGTAATCAAATGATTAATGAAAACTGGTGAAAACAAAGAAAAATTTATTAACAATCATTGTGTATTTATTGTTACCTAATAAACCCAACAGAATAAAAATTTACATATTCGAAAAAGAGAATTTGTATCAAGAGAACATGAGAATTCCTAGAATTTGACGTCACCAAAATTCCAAGAAGTAGCACGATAGATGTCTCATCATAATTTACGTCCCTCTGAAACAAATTTTCAAAAATCGTGCCTCGGTAGTTCTTGGAAACAATGTCAACAAAATTCCAAGCAATGGCACGAAAGATACCTCCTCACAACTTATGTTCTCCTCGTACAAATTTTCAAAAATCGCGCCCAGGAATTCTTGGAATTTGACGTCAACAAAATTCCAAGAAGTGGCACGACAGATGCCTCCTCACAACTTATGCTCTCCTGATACAAACTTTCAAAAATCGCGCCCAGGAATTCTTGGAATGACGTTATGAAAATTCTATGAGGCACAAAGAATATCTCCTAATAATGCATGTTATCAATATTTTCTTTTTTATTTATTATTTTTTTTAATATTTGGGGCAATTTGTGGAGATCGGAATGACGGGATTTATAAATAAATAAATATGTAAATACATGTTTTTTTTTTTCATATTTGTTTTCAAAAACTTTTGTATATCAAATGACTTAATATATTTTATTGATAGATAGGTACATTATTAACACTTAATTCTAGGACGGAATTATCATAATAATATGTACATATTAGTTTACGCTGTAATGCAGAATCTTGTAGAAAGCTAATAAAGGTCTGTTGAGAGAGTGAAGATAATGTAGCAATTAATGTGCTTCTAAAAAGTTGAAGAAAATGTTATGAATACATAAATCGGACGATTGCTTTCTTGCGCTGTATTAAATGTCATTCACATAACGCTATTTTGACATGTACTTGTCTAATCTGAACGACCCTTATGCAGGTTTGCCGCAGCGCCATCTAGTAGTAGTACGCGGAACTTTAAGTAAATGTCGTTCACATTAGGCTATTTTGACCGGCACCTGCCTAATCTGAACATCCCTTTATGAAGGTTCGACGCAGTGCCATCTAGCAGCGATACGTGGAACTATAATAGAAACTTCGCTGATGGTATATTACCGTTGAAGTGTAAATCAATTAATTACCGACAGAATCCGATCGGTACTTTACACGTGTTCATCATATTTCAGCAGTTTGGCGTTAGATGGTGCTGTTAACAGCATTTGTGGCGGTTTTTTTAAAAGATTATTTCCTTTTTTTCTCCATGTATTTATATGCGCAGCATTTTCAATAATTCCTATACTCTAATTACATCATAGTTACGAGTGGTCCTTGTAGAAAAATTACTGTGCATGTTTATTTGTTAGATTTAGGTCTGCGCAAGGGGAGCTTGGATGGTGGGCAAAGTTAAATTTATATTTTAACTGATTAATTCCCCGTGCATAGCACGGGGTGTTCCACTACTACTAATGATGAATATGCATCTACACGGAAATACTGTCTCAGTATGTTTAGTGTAGTTTTTGGTGAAGGCAGCATTACTGAATATTGATAATGTAAATGCTGTAAACATGAAAATAGTGTTTACAATATATTCCGTGGTTCCAAAAATGCGGAATATGTGTCCAGAATAGTTTGCATGCTATACCGTGTCTTGTCAGAAATATTGAAAATAATATTTTTAACAGTGGCCCATATGTCACATATGTGTCCTTTTGAAAAAAGGAGCTTGTTTTTAAAGTGACATGACATGAACGTGATGGTATTTTGAAGTTTCTTCGAAAATGTTATAAAGAAACTTAAGAATCGTAAAAATGTTTCCCAAAAATATTGTTTTTATCGGAAGAGCTCATTTCTAAAGTTTCACTTAAATCAAATATACATAGAGAATTTTAAATATAAGATAATAAAATCTTCACAGGTATATGGTTACTTTTAAAAGCATGTTACTTTGTTATTCACTTTACGTTTCAGATAGGTGATTCTAGGAATTATATAGGCAGTAACTTTGCGATTTTTATAATTGAATTTTATACTGAAATTTACATTCGATACAGATGAAAAGTCGAAAGCACATTAGAAACCTTATTCATAAGGGCGTAACAATATCAGATGAACGTTTTTTGACATAATGCATTTTTATATTGTTATGCATATTTAAATTATAATAATCAGACTGTATCTGATTGTTTATTGTACTGTTTATGTATTTATAACATATTAGAGCATAAAAAAATCCTTTAAGCACAAATTGTATGTGACAAAATAAAATAAATTTTTCTGTGTTTACATTTTATCAAAACAAGTATTTATGTAAATATTTGCAATCTTATAATAAGGATAACATTAATAAGTAAACATGAATGTAACTAGTAAAACTGAAAAGGTTAAGATAAAAGAATATCCTGTTCGTGCTGACATGTTGCAAGGTTCACTTCCTTTTCTGGATTCACAAGCACACATTTCAATTGTATAACCATTTACCTATATAAAGCAACAATTTAAGTTTAATTTTATATAAAATTGTATTCTGGCACAATGTAATTTCCTTACTCGCTTGAAAAATTCATAGGCAATATCATTTGTTTTATAAATATATATAAATAAAATATAAAATAATAAAAATTACTTAAGAATTTCTTTGTTATAATATTTAAGCTAGTTACTTACTCGTTGTTCATAGCATCCTGATGTTACGGGTATCAACTTATCTTCCGTTACTTTACCACAGAATGCTGTCGTAGTAATAACTGTAAAAACGTTACAATTTTAAAACGTATTTTTGTATTCTGATATTTTATATATAAACTGTAATATACTTACTATTATCGTTATACCAAAGGTTAAATTTTATACATACATCTGCTTTAGATGTAGTAGAACATAATTTTGTTGTATCTTTGTCATTCCAAATTTGATGTAGATCTGGTGGTATCACTAAAGTTTATGGAACATTATTATTATATTATCTTTTAATGTACTTACATTTTATTAGTAGTGAAAGAATTATTATGAAAATATAAATTTTGTCGTTTCTTTTATATTATTACTTTTTAATAAATAAAGATGGTTTTCCAAATAGTGACATTATTATTTTTATAAATATAGATAATATTACGTGATGGTATTGGGTCTTCCATGCAAGGGAAATTTGGAAGTGTTGTACAATTCTTGTCCTCTGGTATAGTGTCAGACTCAGTTGATACCCAAGTATACTTAAAGCAGTATGTTAAATCATTTGAAACATCTACAAAAGATGTCATAAATATGGTTTTTAATATTTCTATTTCAAATTCGTGAAATTTCAGATATACTTACCTAATGTCAAAGATTCAGCACAAATAATTAAAAATGTATACAAAATAATCTGGATCATTTTGAAGTATATAATGCTTGACCCCGAACACCTTAGATCACTACTTTAGAATTAAAGCTTACCTGATAAAAATAATCGCCACTATAGTAATCTATTACTTATCTGATATTTCACCTGAATCATAACACGACACTAAACTGTAATCTATGAAGTATACGTTCACTTATCTTATTATGAATGATAAAAATACATTCTTAATATTAAAACATGGTATATAAAAATTGTGTTTCATTAATAAGATCGAATTTTAAAATATTTATGATTTATTATAAAGTTAATATATATTTACATTTTTTAAAGATATAATTTCTAGCGTAATGAGGTAAGTAAAAATTAGCGATTATAAAAAGATTCATAGTCTACTAGTAAAGATAAATATCTTTTGTAAATGCTTTATACATTTTTTGTTCATGTTTAAAATGTACTTTTTGTTTATTTATAAAAGAGTTAAGTATCATGTAGGAAATTTTGTTAAAATTCATCATGCCTGGCTAATGCTTCGCCAAAATCAGTTGCCTGTGAACCAACGAAAATATCGTACTTTTCTAATATTTCATCTTTTGTAAGTTTTTGATCCGCATCTGTGTCTGCTTCAAATATTAAGTGCCGAGATTCAGCTTCTGCATGGTCAAAGTCAGCTGGAGTAATCCAAGTTTTAACCTAAAAACAAACATAATGTGAGTTAGTTGTTTCAACATGCTATTATAGCATATTAAACAAAATTATTTACCTCCTCAAAATCTAAGAAGCCATCACCATCCTTGTCTCGATACATAGAAAACTGTTCCTTTTCATTTTTTACCCATTCTGGTTCTTCTTCACCTTCAGCACCATCATACATGTCACCTGTAATATAAAAGCACTTTTAATATTAACATTTTAATATACTGATATAAACAAGCTATGACAAAAATTAAACTATGTACCAATGTATTCAGAAAGAGATATTTTGCCATCTCCATCTTTATCAATGTCTTCCATAGTTTCCAGCACAACAACATCTTTCATATGATCTGCTTCTTCTGCATGAAGAAAAGCAGCAAATTCTTCTTTTGTAAGAGCATCATCACCATCTAGATCTGCAGTTGACCAACGTCTACGATCTTTTTTCAGCATAGCCACATACGAGAAAGAATTGTCTTTAGATTTCTCATGGTTTTCTGCTTCCTGTTCATCCATATCTCCATAAACCATTGCCAAATATTCTGACCATGGAAGTTTCTCCTTTCCTTCAGGATTATGAGATTTCCATTGACGTTCAACATTATCACGTATGTAGCGTCGTTGTGTATAAAGTATCCAGTCTTTAAGCTCTTCTCCAGTAACATAACCATCTTTATCTTTGTCTATTTTATCGACTATTATTCCTAATCTTCGTGTGCTCTCTTCAGGAGTAAGCTGATCAAAAGTTTTTGCTTCTTCACCAAGGAAAGCTTCATGGTCATAAGCTGGATTATGTTGAGAGTTAATAAAATGTTCCTCTTCACTTGGTTCCTAAAATAAAACTAATGTAATGTAATATGATTTTATCATATCTGTTGTTCTTATAAAAATAAATGTGAGTTTTAATATAGATTTATAACACTGTACAGCATTAAGATATATGCTAAAAATAATTTTAATGAACATTTTTAATAGGGTACATTAATGACTCCATTATATCATTTATGTTTAAAAGATAGATTGTATTTTTAACAAGTTAAAGGACTAATAAAGTGAATACATAATTCAATGAAAACAAAGAAATAATATAATACAAAGAATATTGCACAAATATATTTTATTGTAAACAAGGTTATGTGTAGAAGAATTGTAATGTTATTAGTAAATTTTTTGCTTTCTAAAAAACTGAAAATAAAGGTCTTTTATATAGAAATTTCTGAAAAGTTTTATGTTGTTATGAACTGAAGACAAACCTTATTAACAACTCGTGTTTTGTGTTCGTTATCCGGCTTCGGGATAGCCGTCGCCAACACAGAGAAACCAATTAAAATTTGGAGAAGCATGAATTCTTGCATAACTCACTTAAACACAAGGGAATAAATTGTATCAAAAATCAGCAGATGAATGGAAATATTTAAATCTGAAATCCAAGAATAAAAATAATAATATCAACGAATAAAACCCCGGCGGCTTAACTTCTGTTCAGCTTACTCGGAACTTCCACATCAGCATAGGTTTAATGTCTTGCTTGACGCTGCATCCCCACTTCCCAGCTACATCTTCGTTTCAGAAACCATTTCTGATGCTGATGCTGAAATGCCTTTGCTCCATATCACTACCATCGTGACCGAATTACATCCATGTAGTCAGAGTGTCAGATAATTGGCAGTATCAAATCAACCCGTACATGATTATGTATGGTTGGCCCACGTGATTATTGATAAGACAATTGTATACAGAGCATGTTGCATCGAAACTTTGATGTAAATAATATTCAAATAATTTATTATTTAATAATAATTTCATATAGTAATGTAACAATTTAATTTTATTTTAATATTTTTGTGACTACGTATGTTGTACAATTTACTAATATCGTAACTTTATTCCTCTTTGTTGAGATTGTAAAAATGGAAACATTAACACTTTATGAAATATTTTGTATATTCGAAATATTTCATTGTACCTTTTACAGCGTTTATAAAACATAATTGTGGTATCATAAATAAATATCTTAATCTCATACATTCTCATTTAAGTTTATATATATATTTTCATGTATTATTATTTACAGCAGAAAATATGATCTTTAAAATAATATAATTCCGACGCCAGGGATAAGTCCATTAATAGATTAAGTAGTGTATGTTCGTATTGAATTAAATTGTAATAAAATAGTTATATATATATCTTAATAAATAATGTTAATCAATAAAGAAATATGCATGATAATTCCTTTATTCATACGAATATTTTCATTCTACTACTTTACTTCTAAATATGATTTTGGCGAATGGTAAAAAGCAGCATAATTTTTTTCAACAAATAGTATTTCTTTTCGATTTTCTTACGCGAACTTTGGAGTGCACGTGTTCGATTTGTCCCATTCTACGCTTCCGAGTATTTTATATTAGGAGCTAATTACTTAACATGTGGTTAAATAATTAATTCTATTAATTTACTGCCTGTCTACCTATGTGTTGGATAGAGGCAATGTACTCGCTGTGTATATATAGAGAAACTACAGTTGGAAACTACAGTTCTGTAACTAGCGAAGATATACAAAAATTTTATTGGGAAAAAGTAGATGTATTCACAATTTTTTTAATATTGTATTTTTCAATTTCTGAATCAGACTTGGACATATTTTATTTGAAATAAAATGAAAACTAGTAATGTGAAATAATATGTTTTGTATAAAATTTTGATTTAAGTCACTATGCACTATTCAAATGATATTTTATTTTTAGTTTCTTTTTTGTATTTATGTTTGATTTGTTATTTTATATTATATTTTTGCTACTGTTTTTATTATATTATTTTATTTTAGTTTTTGATTAGGTTTACATATTGTGTTTACATATGTAAAATCTATAGTGAAATTAGTCGTTTTAATTAATTTATTACTTTTATAAATAATATATTATTTTCAAATAATTTTCTATTTACGTTAATTAAATAATGCAAATAGAATAAATGATCTGATATAGGAGGATGTGGTAAGATTATTTTTCAATTTACTTGAACGAAAAGTACTATTCATTCATCATAAAAATTTATATATGTATATTTTTCTTTGAACAACATGTGTATATTTGTGCTTGTATGAGTGAACAGATATGAGTTAATAAAAGTATGTGAAAATAATTAAAAAATTATTTGATTAAACATTTATTCAGATGAAAAATAAAAGAATAAAATAAAAAATGTCTGCATTTCATAATCGAATATTGACATTTTCATTTGCATCAGACTATTTCCTATTTGATACTAATTTCATTCAATGACAATTTATTTTATCTTGATTTGTTTCAGAACTGAGATTCATCTAATTTTTTATGGGACATCCTGTATGTGTAATAGGAACCTTAGTTCTAATTTTAGACTAAGTTTCCTGTGGAAGATTACAAAGTAGAAGCCTAAAATTTTGTTACTTGAAAAGAAACGATTTACTTGCAGCATTAGAGTCCTATTATGTTAAATTAGCAATACTTAATTGGTAGATTCTAAATATTACTAGCTACTAATATTGCATTGCAATAATTTAATGTTTATTTCATTATATTAATATCAAACGATATATGTACATGTATATTAATCTGACAATATTAGAATAAAAATAAGGAGGAGTGGAAATTGTATAACAAAAAAATTAGATTATTTTTGTATTTTCGTATTGAACATTAAATAATATTAAGAATAATATAATAAAATTAAGTACGTTTTTTTTAGTTTCTTTAACAACAGAAATTTTTGCTAAAATATTATCACATTTTTATTTTGAATTAATTTTTATTTTAAATCCATATAGCATTCGATTTTTACTTAACTTCAACTTGATACATTTTTATTTAAGTAATCAAACACCACATGTATATTATTTTTAAGGAAATTTGATATAAATTTCAAGTTTATAAAATCCTACTTTTCTATATCTTTATTTCTAGATTTTTTCATTTTTAAATTCATTGATCCATAAATCTCTATATTTTTAAATCTCAATATCTCTATATCTCTGTATTTCTATCTGGAAATGTATCTAGATTCCTAGTATCTAAAAACACACCTATATGTATACTTTTATATATCTAGATCCTCAGATTTCTATACCTTCAAGAATCTCTATTCTCAGATTTCTATTCTTAAAATCTCTATATCTCCAGATTCTTACATTCCCAGATCCTCAGCTAATTGACATTACCCAAATCCTAACATCTCTATATTCCTAAATCCCTAGATCTCTAATAAACCATAAACTGGTATATAAATTAGAGCTATATTTCGATGAAGATCACACACATTTTGAAAAACCATCTTAATCAATTTTGTAATTTAAATTATGAATCTGAGGGCGGTTGTATGATCGATTTAGTAGTTTCTGTGTTAATCATGATTTTCTGTAATATAAATGAGTCACTTGCATCGACTCTTTTATCTAGGACGGGCTTATCCAGTTATCTTATATTTGTCAGTGATAAAGAAAATGTTGGGTGGAAGATTCAGGTATCCACGGTTGTATACGTTCATAACCACGGTATCAACGTTTTCGTACTACTTCATTAACAGATTCTTGCAAAAAAGAGAGAAGTTTAGTTGTGTTTCTGTTTATAAATTCATCGAAGATAATACATAGTGCGAGGAAAAAAATCAATCATTGAACGATGGCTGGTAAAAGCGGGCCTAAGCTAGAGCAGCGAATTCAGTGTGTAAAATTTACCATCTTCTGCTTGAATGCTATCATATGGGTAAGGAAAAAATGAGAACAAACATAATTGCGTGCAATTGACGATAAACTGTTGTTTTAATCGACGACATGAAAAGGCGACTCACCTTCAATTCATTTTAAAATCTAGATAAATTAAATTTTCTATAGATTGCTATTTTATTTCATCACTAGGTTGTGACGTAAGATCATGCCATTTCCTTTTCCTATTAAACAGTTTTGCAAAAACGAACGATACAATCATATGAAACGACTTCATTTTACTTTTTCTAAAATACAATGTTTTTTGTTCTTTTAATATCTTTTTAGCTGTTATAGCTTTTTTGCTACAGATTGAGATTGCGATTTAAATAATCGTATTTAATAAAACTGTTTTAAATGAAAATTACTTCTATTTGCTACAAATTCTGTTTTTTTTCGTGAACATTTTATATTATTATTATTTTCCTTTATTTAGTATTGTGTTAATTTTTTAAGCTACACATAGATACTTTAAGGTATCTTTCTTTTTTATTATAATTAGTTTGTTGCGGGGTATGATATTCTTACTCTCATTGTCGTTAATGGACCATTACGCAAATGTATTTCTATAGGCAATTTAAATTGTAATGTTTCTTATTGCCACATACATCCTTGTTACGCTTGACTCAATGTGAGTCAGTTCACGTTGCGTGCCAATCATATCTGTTTTTATCAGTGTGATGAATACGCGACTTCGACAAATCAAAGGCTGGAAAACCAAAAGTTAAAAATTAGGATACACGATAAACTATATTCAATGTCACTTTTTTACGTGCTAATTAATCTGTCTTTGATAGGATCTCTTCGTTAATTTTTGTTTAACGATTTAATAATGACAAAGCCGAAAGAAGATGGGCTTAAAAGTTATGAAATTCTACAAGAAATGATTATAATTTGTATTATAAGATATAACTGATAAAGAGAAAAGTTGCCAAGATACTAAGTGGATTAAGCTACTTTTGACGATTCAAAAAATCAAGGCCTTTTGCTTCATCTTAAATAAGTACAGTATTAAAAATAAAACGAAATTGGTTTTAATACGAAATTTAATTTTTATAATGAGTTTACAGCCAATCTGGCGATAAAGGAGATAAATGATAAAGTAAACAAAATTTAACGATGCATAACAAATTCCACAATGTAATTCTTTACATTTCGAAGAATAAACTAAAAGGTTTCATACAAAATTTAATGTTTAAATTGAGTTTACAGCCAGTCATGTGAATCACTGCCGTGTAGTAATTAAATTTATACAAGTAATAATTTATTGTTACTATTATTGTTACTATTGATCTTTGAGAAGATCCAGAAGTATTAACAAATTGTAATTTGTTGATGCAGTAATTCATATCGTGTTTCGTTACTTTTCATGATAGTCTGTTGATGTAATGCAATTTTTGGCAAGATTGTAGGTAGAAATTGTTACAATTTGTATATTTAAACGAAAACGCGCTGCATGATGATCGCCTTCTAACAAAATTTGTTAAAAATGTTTGAAAATACTACGAGCAGTTGCAGCAAAGTGAAGAAACAGGCTAATTATAATGTAAAAACATAGCTGTACATATAATGCAGACACCGTAAGCTGCAGTTTTGAAACTTTTACTTTTATACTCAAAACATTGTAAAGTATTATTTTTTTTCAAAATTACGTTTTTTTTTTGCGTCGCTTAAAAGTTTCATTATGCTTTTTAAATTTAAATATTTGTAGCAGTAACATATTGGCGATAATTAAATTTTCAACATATACAGCTGGAGATAAAAAAAATTTGAAATAATAACAGTAAAGTACAGGAGGTACGATTTAAGAAGCTAGCATGCATTTAGAAAATTTCTACTATATAGTTTTCTTTGTTAATAATAGCAAAGTATTTAATCACTTTGTTTATTAGAATGTATGTATGAATCATATAAACTTGATTATATCAGTTAATATCAGCAGTTAGACTACAAACCTCTTTTAATTAAAATTTGGAAAAAGGAATTCTCTTTCAAAAATTTAGGCATCTGCAAAATTTAGGATTTAAAAATTTTCAAAGTTAAGGATATAGGAATTTTGGAATTTGCGAATTCGAAAATTTGGCGATTTGAAAATTTAATAATTTGAAAAAATACAAAATTGACAATTAAGAAATTTGAGATTTTGGCAACGCCAACAGGGTATTAAGAAATAGAAAAATTTGAAAATTTGGCAATAGGAATTCTGTGAATTGGAAAAGTAGTAATTTAAGACTTAAAAGTTTTAATAATGTGTTAACACTGAAATTTAGGAATGTGAGAATTTAGACATTTAGAAATTCCATAAATTGGAAAATTAAGAGATTTAATAACGTGTTAATTTGAAAATTTAGGAATGTGGGAATTAACAAATTGGAGAACTTCGGAAGTAAGAGTTCTGGTAATTTATTAATTTAAAAATTTGGAAATGTAATGATGTGAGAGATGAGAAATATAGGTTACAGTATATAATGTTTACAAAACGAATTAAATTATTTAGTTTCTATGAAATGTCAATAATTTTGATTAAATGATAACTTCAATAAGTTATTAAATAATAACTTTAGAGTCTTGATTGTAATAATAATAGCAATCATCAATGTCATACCAGACTATTAAAATTTACCAAAAACTGAAAATTGTTAAAGAACAATATACAAATATTTCTTGGCAGTAATATATTTATATGCAATTATAACGTTACAAATATTTTCAGAAGTTTTATTCATTTTTCAGCTGCTCGGCTGTGCAATGTTTGGATTGTGCATGTGGCTGAGATTGGATCCAGGTTTTCAAGAATGGGTCGATTTCCTCGATATGTATGAATTTTACATCGGAATTTACATTTTACTTGCTGCTTCGTTATTCGTTGTAATTGTTACATTCATCGGCTGTGGCGTTGCTCTGATGGAACACATTCTTGGCCTTTACGTTGTAAGATATAAATGTTTAATTATTTTTAATTACAAAAATATGCCGCTATCACAGATTTGTCTAACGGCAACATAACCAGAGTTCACTGCAACATAATTAACGCTGTTGAAAATAGTTTCTAAAATGTCATAAAGAATATTAGCGTTAATCATTCGTATACAGTGATGGGTAGATCAAATGATTGCAGAATAGTTCATGAGTTTATATTTGTGTGGTGCTGACAATTACAAAGTATAGAAAATCTATGGACATTTTAAAATTTCAAGTTTAAAAATTTAGTAATATAGTAATTTGGAAATTCATGAAGTTGGGAAGCTACAAGTTTGGAATTTTAAAAATAAAAAACATTTCAATTTAGAAATTTGGTAATTTGAAAGTTTCAGATTTAGAAATGTAAAAATTACAAATTTTTAAGTTCAGAAATGCAGGAATGTAGCAATTTAGACTTTGAATATTTCGAAGTCGAGAAATATCGAAATATAATATTTTTATATTTAAAAAAATAGAAATTTGTAAGTTTGAAAAGGTAGAAAATTAGAAAATTAGCAATATAGAAATCTGACAATTTCGAAGTTTGAAGATTTGAAACCTTAAAAATATATAAATGTGGAAATTTCGAAATTTAAAAATTTTGGAGATTAGAAAATTAGCGATTTTAAATTTCCAATTTTACAATAACTAAAATTGCTAATTCTGAATTTGAAAATATAGAACTACATATAGAAATATGGAAATATGGAAATATAGAACTATAAAACTATAAAACTATAAAACTATAAAACTATAAAACTATAAAACTATAGAGCTATAGGAATGTATCAATATAAAAATGTATATCCTTCGAAAGATAACAAATTTGGAAACAAAACATTTAAATTCACAAACTTGGAAACTTAGAAATTTTGCAAGCAATTAAATCTTTATGTTTACTAATTTTTTAATCTTCAAACTGGCGCAATTGACCTCTCAGCAGCGCTATCTGTTGTTCTAACATATACTTTTTAATTCATTTTTACTATCAATATAGCTTACATTATAATCTTTAATTATTCTAATTTAACATTAAGTTTTCTGAAATTTTATAAAAATATCTACTATTTCTTTTCTTTAAATACCATCGCTGTCACGTCAATTCTAAACTTTAAATGTGTTGATTCTTTCAGTATGTAGGCCTGCAATTACTTTCTTACGTCCTTGGCCTCGTAGGAACAGCAATTCTTCTCGATTATTCCACCTACGACAGTAAAATTCAACCACTTATACGAAGATCTATGACTTCGCTCATCAGCAGGTCCCAAGATGATAGAGCGACGTATATTTTACAACTGATTCAAGAAAGTGTAAGAGAACGTATTTATAAGATATTATAATAATTGTACAACTGTAAATTCTTACTCTATATACAGGGTGATATCTCTAACACAGTGCACAATTTTTTATTCACTTGCATCCACCTGATAAAAAAGAGTTAAGAACCAAAATTGCAGGGTATAGAGTGTAAAATAGATATTAGTAAACAACAATTTGAAAATAGTTTAATTTCGTAGCGAAATCGAGGTCATCTTAGGTTTTACAAAGAGAAACAAAAATTTGATACTTAAGGGATTATCTAATACAACCGCGTGATTTAGAACATAGGAAAAATGCACTTTATGTAATTACGCTTTCAAATTGCATTCCGCCTTCTGCGGTAATAATAACATATTAAAATATTAGTTATGTTAATCAAAATATCACGTGACATATGTTTTGAATTTGTCTTAATGTCTTTTACAATAAAAAGAAAAATTTCTATTTGTAAAACCTTAAGTGACTTCGATTTCATAAAGAAAAGAAACTGTTTTCGAGATATTTTTTACTGAAATTTATTCTATGTATACTTCATACTCTGTTTTGTCCTAATATTTTTTGTTGGATGATTGCAAGTGAGTCACCTTATGTACGTATAAATTTACTATATTATTATCAAATTAAAATATTTCATTATAACTTCGAAATCCTAAGTTTCAAACTAACCAGGAACAAATTTAACGAAGAGATTTTAAAATAGATTGGATGCTGTGGTGCTGATGGACCCATGGATTACTTGACTTTGAGGAGGCCGTTGCCAACGGAGTGTCGAAATTCTGTTACCGGAAATGCTTATTTCCACGGATGCGTTGAAGAGATTTCATGGTTTTTGGAAGGCAGATCAGGCTGGGTGGCGGGTTTGGCATTAGCTTTGTGTGTACTTCATGTAAGAATTTTAAGACTTCTTTTACATTTACATAATATTAGAAATGAGGGGTGTTTCGTTAAGAAGTATTGAATTTCGTCGTCATTTCTTTTGTGACAATTTTCGAGGTATAAAATGTAATTATAAATTCAATGTTGCTGTTGTGGTTATTATAAAATCAATAATTAATTGTACAAAATATTAGTTAAGGCAGTACTTTTCAAATTTACATGGTCTAAAACCTATTTTCGAAAACTATAATTTACTTATTTGCTTATAAATTATAATTTTGTTGAACTTTGCAATTCCAAAGTTCTAAAGTTCCAAAGTCGTGATGTTAAAAAATTTCAAATTTCCAATGATTAAAAGTTTAAAGATTTCATAACCCAAAGTTTAAAAAACCAAAATTTTCAAATTTCTGAGTTTCAATAATTTAAAAATTTCAAGAGGTTATTGAATCCGGAGTGTTTATTCGATGAGTAAATTTCTATTAATATACATCCTCCTATTTTAATAATTAACATGTTATTTGATCTATTTTTTAGGTTTCAGTATTAATATATTTTCCGTTTAAGTGCTGTATATTTGGTGCTAAAAATATCAACTTTTTAAATTTATTTTTTGATCTACAATCGAAACACCTTTTATAATTATTACAACATTATTATTTGTTCGAAGTTGTATTATTTGTTTAATAATGGATCTAATTTTGCAGATCGTAATCGCCGCCCTCAGTTTAACGCTCGTCCGAGCCATTCAAAAGGAAGAACAACATATAGTTTCATATAAACGTTAATTGTTACTAAGTCAACGATAACTTTTTCGTTGCCTTCTTTATACATTGTCAAGCTTGATATAAAAAATTCACCTTATGAAGCGGAATTTATATAAAAGTGAATACAGCAAAAACAATGACACACTTTTGACGGAAATATGTAGCGTGCAATAAGTTCTGTTAACATTCATAACAATTATACAGGGAATATCATTTTTTCTAAATCCATATGTAAGCTGTTGTGCCTAGGGACACTTTTTAATGTTCATAATATTGTAATCAAAATGAATTATGAAGAACTACAACTGCCTTAGGTACATTTCAATCTTCATCAGAAAAAACAATTACAAATTTTGGCCGAACATTTAATATAATACTTCACTAAATTAATTTTATACTTAAAGTGTAATACATAGTTGCATACATAGTTTCTAACTCTCTACAGCTTTGATCAAATTTATAACTTTGTTTGTATAATTCAACAAAATTGCAAGACACTGAAAATACAGAGACGCTCTATAATATCAAACAGGCAATCATTTACAATTACAGCTGACTAGATGATGTCGCTGTAAGATTGGTATAGAAGAATAGATACAATAATAACATAATTCCTTGTTATTTTTAACAAATAACATTAAGTATAACACTTTATATTAAATATAAAAAAGTGCTATATTTAACATCCTTAAGTACAATTATCTTCCTTTACATTCTTTGAAATATAATTTTCAAATATAATTTAATTATATACTTAACAAACTAATCATGCTTTACCTCACATAATCTTATTTCGGTTAGTAAATCGATTCGACTCGATTTCTTACACACGGTAGAGTAATATCTTCAATTTTCAAGCGAACTCAAGATCTCGACATACTGTACGTATTTTTAGCCTTGGAACAGAAAAATTCAAGCGGTAATGTTCATAAACATTGTACCCAGATACAGCGTTGTTCTAACTTTAGATTTTCGAACGCATGTTTTCATTACTGCCATGTTACCGTTCATCAATGTACTGTACGAGAATGTAACATGTTTTATAGAATGTAAAACTTCGTTAAATGACATTAGCATTTATTATTATGTACATTTACATCATACCAGACTAATTGTTTCTTCTTTCATATGATTAAATGTTGACCATGGACAAATAATGTTAGAAGAACTATTGGAATAATGATAGGTATGACTATATTTATTGTTTTTACTTCCACTGCTATTTTTACATAGGTATATATTTTCATGTATATTGTATCCCATTTGAACCTTCTTACTTATCTATGAAATTATTATACAATAATAGTGGCGGATATGAAGAATTATCCTTCAAGGTTGAAATTTAGAGCCTTCAAGGATTAAATTTTGGTAGTTTGCAACTATAGAAAAAATATATACACAACTTTGATTGTAAACAAAAAATGTATTATTTTATTGTTTGAAAATAAAATGATGTACTGAACATTTTTAAAATAAAAATAAATTGGACTTGATACAGGTGCTCGATTCTGATGATAGAATTAAGATTATGGAATTGTACCCAGGTTTACGTGCTTTTTTTATAGAAATTTCGGAATTTAGATAATCGAGGATTGAACATTTTTAAATTCGTAAATTTAAAAACACAGAAACGTGAAAATTGGGAGTTTGGAAACTGGGGAATGTGAAGATTTGAAAATTTGGGATTTGAATACATAAAAATTAAACAATTTGAAAACTTGGAAATTAGAAAATTTTGAAATAGGGTAAATGGGACTTGAAAATTTTTAAATTCGAATTCTAGTAAATTAAAATTTATAGAAAGTTGATGTCTGGAAATGAAAAATTTTGAAATATTCAGATATGAAGATTTTAGAGCTTCAAAATGAAGATTTGAAAATTTCGAAATTCAAGGATTTGAAAATTAAGTATTTTTTTAGTTTCATCTTTAGCTTCCTTTTGCATATATGGAGGTTCGGCTACTGGTGGGTATAATTTCAAGGGGAGGTAGCTGGGGTAATACTAAACAATTTTTCTTTACCAAAATGTTGACTGAGGTTTAGTTTTTGAATTATTAACGAAACACGCCAATCAGAGCGTGAGAATAATGTGCGCTCGGACTCGAGAGCGACAGCTACGAGCTTGACGGCTGAGCGTGATCGTGAACAAGTATGTTTTCACTGTGACCGTATAATTGCTAACAGAAAACTCCTACGTCAAAGTTAAATCAAATAACAAGTAAAATAATCAAGAATAAGAACGGATTATGAATTATTTACATATAGGAGATAAACCAATTATTTGTTAATAACTTCATTCGAGTGAATCGAATTTGTTCGATACTTGTATTCGGTATTCGAAAGGAATAAGAAATAAAATATCGAAAATTGTTCTTGTCGTTCGTTACAAAAATACAAAGTAACAGATTCGCACACTTTGAAAGAAAAATAACTTCTCTATTCGTCAAAAAAGATTTTAAATGTAATAATTAATAAAATTAACATCTGTCTACTTTAAATGGAAAAAACATGTCGACACAGTCGACTTTATACCGAAATTGCATCTTTAGATAAAGAAAAATTGCGGAACTATCGTATCAATTGGAACCGATTTTACACCACCCTTAATGTTTGAAATTAAAATTCAAAGTACTGGTGAATATTTGTTATTTATAATGATAAATAGTACGTCTTTACTTATATTAAAAAAAAATGTGACAGAAAAATTGGTGAGAATTAAAAAAGAAACATGAATTTCAATGCATAGAGTTATAATTTAACAAACGTTTACTTAAAAATTTAAAATAATATAAAAAAAAAGAAAGAAAAACGAAAGATACATTGGTTAGCAACATATGTAAATAAATTAATAAAATCATTTATAAAGTGCTGTTCCGAACGTGCGACGGAACACAATAGGGGAGAATTTCGTAGGTAGTTTATGATGGGTCCGGGTCTAACAGTTATTTGTAAAAGACAAATTTTAGCTATCACCAGCAATTAAGTTTTATATTTCTTCAAACAATGCCTTTAGAATTTCTAACTTTCATTTCGTTTTCAATAATTACTCCATCATAAACGGGGTTTTTCTCGAAGGGTCACTGAGGTCGGGCCTCGGTTCTTTCCTAGCGGTACATTTCAGGACAACGTGCGTGTTACCTGGAGGGAAAAACCCCGGCGTTGCTGACCTTCGAGATCCTCCCGTACTTACCGGTATTTTTCCCACCCTATTCCAAAAAAGGCGTGCTCAGGGCGCAAGAGAGGGTGGGCCAAAGTCAAGGGGCATGTTGATTGGAAAATCAATGTTTTTAATGAGAACCAATCAGCACGCCTTCTTGCAATTCCGACGTTTCGAGGAAGCGAAGACGAAACGTTTTGTCAGAATGAATATTAAAGTCAATCGTTTCGGACTTAAGAATTAACAGACAGGTCATTCGTTTCGGACGTCCAATCTAACGTCAACCGTTTTTGAATTTTGATATACGAGTCAATAATTGCCGTCGTACGAAAATGTATTCAAACGCGCAATATTTCGCCATGATTTGGACCTACGTTCGATGTAATGAGAATGCGGAAGAAGCTGCCCGGCAGTATGCAGAGGAGTATCCTGGTCAAGATTTACCGTCGCCTGATTCGTTTAGACAATTAGCCGCACGGTTACGTTCAAGTGGCTCATTCCCGCCTGCACGAGAAGGTGCAGGTCACTCGAGTCAGATCTCCACGGCACGGGCGAGAAGAACTGGTGGTTCTCATCCACGGGGCAGTTCCTACCATAACTCCGGATATGCTGCGCAGGGTGAACAACAACATTGAGAAGCGTGTTCGTGCGGTAATTACGGCTTGTTTCAACGGAGGAAAGAAACCTTCCGGTGGGGGTTTTAGTGGGTAGTATGCACTTTTCGCATGAGTCCCACACTACCTCAGGGTGTACGTAAGTGTATTTCCCCCACAAAAAAAAAAAAAAAAAAAAAAAAAAAACTATTTCAGAAATTATAATAGTCGTAGAAATGGACGCTTTTTGAAGTCATCAAAAAAAGTACAATTTTAACATGGTTCTTACCATAATACTTGCATATCAAAGTATGCAGTTCCAATGAAACCTCTTACTTGCCCATTTTTCATGTAGCTAAAACATCGTTCTCAAACTATGATATAAAATAAATATATCGTGTTTTATTAAAATTAATCCCGTAATCTAATAATTAAGCACTTTAAGATATATCTAGTAAAAAAATTAAATATTAGCAGAGTAATTGGCTGGGTAAGTTGAGAATAAAATTACTATTAATTAACATTTTTAATTAACGGCAAACCCATAAAGTGATGTAACATGGAAGCGTCTTATTGTAAAACCATGGTTTCTTATTTTTTCATACAAGGCGTATGATGTCTGAGTGAGGAACCCGTATCGCTTTTACAGTAGAACAAGATGGATGAAATGACCCAGTCACAAGGACACATTTTCACCTTGGTTTTAAACAATAGGTGACTATAATTTAAATTATTTCTACATGTTTTTTCCATTTAAAGTAGGCAGGTGTTAATAAATTTATTAATTATTACATTTAAAATCTTTTCTGACGAATAGAGAAGTTATTTTTCTTTCAAAATGTGCGAATCTGTTACTTTGTATTTTTGTAACGAACGACAAGAACAATTTTCGATATTTTATTTCTTATTCCTTTCGAATACTGAATACAAGTATCGAACAAATTCGATTCACTCAATTAAAGTTATTAACAAATAATCGGTTTATCCCTTATATGTAAATAATTCATAATCCGTTCTTATTCTTGATTATTTCACTTGTTATTTGATTTAACTTTGACGTAGCGGTCTTCTGTTAGCAATTATACGGTCACGGTGAAAGCATGCTTGTTCACGATCACGCTCAGCCGTCAAGCTCGTACCTGTCGCTCTCGAGTCCGAGCGCACATTATTCTTACGCTCTGATTGGCGTGTTTCGTTAATATTTCAAAAACTAAATCTCAGTCAACATTTTGGTACAGGAAAAAGTTGTTCAGTACTATACCAGCTACCTCCCTTTGAAATTATGTCCATCAGTAGCGCAACAACCTGCATGTTTTAACCCCGTAACAAAAAGATTACGAATTAAAAAATAAAACGCTTGATATTTTTAAATATTTTATTTACAAAATTCTCAATATACATACAGTATTGTATATAATAGTCATTAATTTATGTACAATGATTTTTTCAATGACCAATTTACAATAGTCGTTAAGTAACATGCAATTGTAAGCAGACACGTGAAATATTTTCTACAGAATCTTTCATTGTTTCTAATGCTGTACATTATGTGCATTAATACGTAAATGTATCTTGTTGCGTACAGTCATTATTAATACAAAAAAAGTATACTAAGTATTAATGTTCCTGCTAAATACAAATAAATTTAATGCGCTTACAAATGGCTGCATGTATTATATTTCGAAGACGTTACTTATGATAAGAAATCAACACGGAATGATTTTTCTTTTAATTGAATATAATATTGGTGTCTTAGGTGTTTCGGTAAAATGATTAAAAAGAAACGAAAAAAAATTATTTACAACATATACATTAAATTTCATTTCGTGTAAAACAATTAATTTTGAAATACTATTTGAAAATTCTTTTGTTTTGATCGAGATATTTTTAAAACATTTCAGTTTATTATGTTACTTTAGACATCATCAGACTCTATTTAAAAAATGACAAAAAAGATACTTATGATTATCTTGAGCCTTATTAAATCTACCTGCATGTACATTTGCATCTAATGTCGCAGCTAGAAACACAGATGTTCTTCAAAATTCGAATTGTATAGAAATATGCATCATTTTCAGTATTTATTATATGATAGTTCATACCTTGTGATAAAACGATGTTTTTTAAATATACACACCAATGATTATCACACATTCGTACATTTTAATTTAAATACTGGAGAGTTCAAGAAAAATCATGTAAAAAAGAAAACTTGAACACAATTAAAAATGCACCCGAGTATTATTTGTATTCTTTTTTGTTTGATTTAATTCGCTCATGTGCCATGATCTGGGATGCCATGTATCAAACGTTCCATCATTTTTATGAAGAAGATGTATAACACTTTTGCTTATATTTTTCTTGAAAGTGTCATTACTTGTATCGTTTCATTTAAAATTAATCAGTCTTTGTGAGTGTATGCGACATACTCCATGCTTTTCAAAAAATATATTTTGCTCCTTTCAGTATGTAGGTTGTTCAGAAAAATTTATCAACACATTCGCTGTCTCACTTTTGAATTTTCAAACTTAAGAATTTTTAAATATTAAACACATTTCTTTCTAATTCTAAAATTTTTATATTAAAATTCCCATTTTTGTAACTTTTTAATGGTCATATAGCGAGACTCTACAGTAGTTCTAAAGTCTAGTCGCAGTTTTAATCAACCTATTGTATATACGTTTTAATTTTTATAGTTATTCAATTAGATTTTTAGAACGTTTGATTGTGCATGGAATGTCATATCATAACACATGAACAAAAGCAAGTCTTAACACATTGCAGACCAGAATGGCGAACATTAAATCATTTTCTGCGTATTCTTCAATGACAAGAATGGCAGAAACCACCAAATGCATATAACGATCACGTATTTTTCGTTTAATGTTCGACTTTGTATACTTCGATAGTTGCAGAACAGACTTTAAATTGTAGTGCTACTTGCTAGGTATTAAATACGTTAAATAAGGTTACTTGCTCAAATAGTGATGGGCAATTTTTCTATTCTGACAACAAAACGTATACAGAACAAACTTTTTAATTTATAAACCTTCCAATTTTCTTATTTACAAATTTTCTAAATCATAAATTTTCAAATTCACAATTTTTCAAAATCATAAATTCTCAAACTCACAATTTTTTAAATCGTGAACTTTTAAATTTATAAATTTATTGACATCTGCGAGTACGCGGAACCTGACGTTGATCATAGTAGCCCATCACCGTTCTGAATTTCTGAACAAACATGGAAGCTTCCAAAATCACCTTTATAAATTTACATCTGTTTCTATTAATATTTATCATCACTTTGTCTCTCTGTCTTCAACCGCCTCCAATTTTCGGATGTTCTTGTCCACTCTGGTCACTACTCGACAAAATAAGATTCTCCAGTCTTCAATATGTTAAGAGCAACTTATTCGCATATTCGCTTAGCACTAACTAACTGTAATGAGTGTTTATCCTACGAAAGGAAAAGGTGGATAAGCGACCGGTGGAGGATAATAACCCGGGAAAGCTTGGACGGTTGGTTGTACAGGTACGGTATTAGTGACATATGTGGTGATCTCCGTCGGCACCACTCTGCTCGAATACAACGTGGTGTAGGCGGTTTTAGCTCCGAATGTCAATTTTAGTATTTTAGACTCGGACAGGGTAGCCAAGGTTTGCGTGATTAGAGGAGTGCTCGTCACCGTGAACTGTGGCTGTTGTGGAAATAGTGGCAATTGCGGTGGCAGCTGCGGCGGTAATTGTGGCTGCAAAACGGGCGCAATTGTGGACGTTCCGTATTCATAGGACGTTCGTGGCACAGTGCCGACTGGCCTGGATAACGTCGAGTAGAGCGTGTTTCCGTTATTCACGACTGGAATTACGTGAGACTCGTAGACTGTCTCCAGGACAACGACCGGACGTGATGTGGTGATCACCTGTGGCTGCTGTTGACCGAAGTATTTCAACAGAGCCAGCTGATCAGCGGACAACTGAGGTTCTGCGGAACTACTAGTTACGATTTCCGATTTCGCTTTAGAGGGCGAAATGGATTTGAATGGTTCCAGATCGGAATCGGCTTGCTCATTCGGCGCTACGACCCTTTTGGGAATATCGTCGTCGTCCCTGTCATCGTCCCCGACTTCCAGCTCCAAGTGAAGCTCGCTACCGGCCTCGTCGAGTTTCGAGTTGAATTCATTCAATGCTTTGCTGGGGATGAACTGATAAATGTCCATCGGAGGCAGAGTTTTTGTTGCTGTGACCACACGAGCGATATTGTACGTTTGCACCAGGGTCAGTTTGGTCGTGTTGCCATTATAGATCACGGGAAGTAAGTGGGTCTTCAGAAGAGTTTGAGTAGTCGAGAATGTTTCTGTTAAAGTTTCTAATGGAGGTGTAGCTTGGCCAGATTCTAGAGATATAGCTGGGAGGGTTGCCACCGCTGAATCTAGAGGTAAAGTTGTCTCGTATGCGGCTGCTGTGTTGGCTAGCAGATTTTCCGTGAGAGGTTCGGTCGGCGATATCGTGGTGGAGGGATCGATCGTTGAAAATGATTTCTTAGCTGTTGAGGTCACTGTTACGTATCGAGTGTTTCTCAACGTACCAACCTATTATAACAGAGAAATTGTGTTACTTCGCAATGTTAGAGTAATATCAGCGTCGTGAGAATACGACGTTTGCTTCGGCCACTGGGTTTAGAATAATATTGTATTTAAATTAAAATTTATCGAAATTACAAGTTTTAGAAATTTTTAACTTTCTGTTCTAAAAAATTTGAAAATTGAAAATTGGGAATTATGAAAGATAATTTAGGAATTTAAATATTTGCAAACTTGGAAGTTAGGAAGTTTATGATTTGGAAATGTGGAAAATTAATAATTTGAAGACTCGAAAAAATTGGAAAGTCGTAGATTTGAGCATTTAATAATTTAATTTTTAAACTATAAATATGAAAAAATTGTCAGATTTATACATTTTTTCAAATTGATAATTTTAAATAATAAAGCCATGATAGGAAGAACTTTTATATTTCTATGTGCAAAATTATATTCTATGTAATTATCATAAAAAAGTAAAATTTTTATGCGAAACTTTTTTAAATTCTGGAAATACTAAAGTCAACGAGATTTCTATTATTTTATGTATTTTGGATTTTAGGTACAATCTTCCAATATACATATGTGGAATTGTATTGATTAAAAGACTACGTGCTTAAATTTAGTAGGAGAAACCGTTGTCTCTACATGCTTCTCAGATCTGGGTCATGATTGACCCAGCTCCGCCTTTTCAGGATTAAACGTAATTTATTGCTACTGAAAACATATGTAGTTGTTAGAGCTACTGCGGAAAAATATGTAGGTTATTCAATGCGTAATGATTTCCAATTAAAGAGGCAATAATTTGATTGATCAAAAGTGCAACAAAATATATTGTAATACCTTAATTTTGAATAACAAATTTTTATGATATATTAAGAAAGATTTAAGCGCAAATTGCATACTGTCAGTAGCTCAGTGTTTTTAATGTTTATTAACAGAAATATTGTCAATATTGTATTGATACCATATAGTGATCGTGAATTTGAAATCGATAATTTTAGCATTTGAAAATTTGGGGATATAGAAATTTGAAAATTTAAGAATTTAGGAATTTAGGAATTCAGAAATTGAGGAATTTAGGAATTTATGAATTTAGGAATTTAGGAATTTAGGAATTTAGGAATTTAGGAATTTAGGAATTTAGGAATTTAGGAATTTAGGAATTTAGGAATTTAGGAATTTAGGAATTTAGGAATTTAGGAATTTAGGAATTTAGGAATTTAGGAATTTAGGAATTTAGGAATTTAGGAATTTAGGAATTTAGGAATTTAGGAATTTAGGAATTTAGGAATTTAGGAATTTAGGAATTTAGGAATTTAGGAATTTAGGAATTTAGGAATTTAGGAATTTAGGAATTTAGGAATTTAGGAATTTAGGAATTTAGGAATTTAGGAATTTAGGAATTTAGGAATTTAGGAATTTAGGAATTTAGGAATTTAGGAATTTAGGAATTTAGGAATTTAGGAATTTAGGAATTTAGGAATTTAGGAATTTAGGAATTTAGGAATTTAGGAATTTAGGAATTTAGGAATTTAGGAATTTAGGAATTTAGGAATTTAGGAATTTAGGAATTTAGGAATTTAGGAATTTAGGAATTTAGGAATTTAGGAGTTTAGGAATTTAAGAATCTAGGAATTTAAGAATCTAGTAGAATTTAGATAAATTGGAACTTTGAAAATTAAAAATTTGTCGGTCTGGGATTTGGAAAATTTGAAAACGTTGAAAATTCGTAAATTTTAACATATAAAAATTTGTAAACTGAAAAACTTGAAAATTAAATTCTGATAATTTGAATACTCAGACCTTGCATATATGGAAATTCTTAAATTGGACAAATTCAAATATCCAAAATATTCAATTATTTCGATCAACCTCTAATAATCTACCACTTCAAACATTTCTTATAAGAATTTGGACCAACTCACCTGGAAAGTGTACGGTGATTTAATGGTAGCAATTTCAAAGTATGCATTGCTGAGATCAGCAGCAGTCGATATTTCGACATTGATCGTTTCAACGGGTAAAATCGGTTCTGAATGTTGGTCTTGAACACTAACACTGGCGACATCCTCGCTTTCACTTGGATCTAATTCATCATCGGTAGATACTTCCTGTATCTTTCTTTGAGCGTTAACTGCCTGACCTGTTGTAGCTGAAGTTGTAGTCGTAGACGTGGAAACAGAGGTCGTTGTCGCTTTGTTATCTTCAACATTTACTGATCCTTCCGTTGTGCTAGTTTCTGGTGCTGAACGCTGCTCGTCTTCAACGTCAATCTGTTTTCGAATGATGATTCGCGGTTTAGGGGTTGTTTTATAAGACCAACGTCCCTGAGTTCTGGGTAGCTTCAATTTCGGTACGGGATTGGGACTGACCGGTTGTTGTTCGTTTTTGTTCTTATTGATTTGTTTCGAGGGTAAATTTGGTTGATTTCTTGGCCGGAAACCGCTGCTACGACGCGTGACTGGAGGCTCTGTTGTCGTTGTCGGTGGACTTCGATTTCTGGTGAAATTGAAAAATTATTGATTCAATATAACCTGACTAATTTAGTGACGTTTTTCATGATAAAAAATTACATGTATTGATTATTTGTTTGTGCAATGCTTTAAATAATTTAGGGGATAGGTGGTATGAAAGGGTCACATTTATTTGGAAGAAGAAAAAACTATTATAATCCAAGAACATTATTTAAAAATTTTTTTTTAATTTTAAATATTAGAAAGGTTAATCTGGCTGCAATTATTGATAATAATTATTACTAAGTATTTATAATACTTCGACTTTTTTTGTATATTTACATATCTTTCTTACTGTTTAAAGGAAACGTATTTTACTCCTTTCACAAAATATTTACATTGAAATTTCATGGACACCAACAGAAGTGAGTAAGTAGTATTTATTAAGAATAGAAATAACATTTAATAAGATTTGCAATTCTGTCATCACGGTAACACGTTAAAATGAGAAAATTTCAATTTTGACAGAAATCAAAATTAGTCTAAATATTATTTTATGTCATGAACAACGGAAATTATTGATTTGAGTAATAGCTGTTACCTAATATTTTAATTTCTGCTTTATTTTAATACACTTACTTGAAACTTGGTCTAGCCGTGGTGCTGCTTCGATTTTTACCTTGTTTCGTTTGCTGAACTTCACCGCTGTCGTAATCCTCGTTAGCTTTGTTACGGAATTTTGGGCGCGATAAATTAGGATTGGCATTCTTTCGTGTATTTCTCACTGTAGAACCTAGCAATAAAAAAATATTATAAACGTCTTGCTACATTGATACTGTACTAGATTGGTTGAGGAAAAAATGTACACTCAACCATTAACAGAATATCTATCAATTTAGTTACCAATTATCAGTTTTGTTAAAAAGAGAACATGTTTTTATTTTTCGCAGGTTTTAGGAATCAAGTGTTTGATTTAGGTGCAGTTACATTATTACTAATAACTTGAAGCAGCAAAACATTGTATTAAATATAAGGTACATATCCAAAACTGTTCTATCTTTACTTTTTAATTATTTCATCATTCTGGCGGTCAAAGTATTAATAATCGATTATAAGTTAACTTATGCTTTGATGCTTAAATATTGATCGGATGCGAGTTAACTCATATCTGTACTTGTATTAGCTAATTTAACTTTTACAACTCAAAGAAATGTAGGATATTGTGAAAGCTTTCGTCATTGTGTTCAGTTTTTCGTTATTATAAAAGAATTCCGTTTCTTGGCATTTAGGTTTGATATTTAGGTTTTTATAATAACTTGACAAATCTATTTACACGAATATATTACCTGGTGCACTAAACAGAACTTCTAAGGGTAGCGATGATTCTTCTTGTTGATTAGTTGGTGTAGGTTCTAACTGCGGTTTCAGCTTTCCTTGTTGCGGTCCAATTGTTTTCAGGATCCGTTGAGTGCTAGATGGACGAATCTTACCTTCGGGAATCGGTGGTGTACCAGAAAGAATTCTTGACGAGCTTTGAAGCACCTGTGCGTATTTACCGTTTATGTAGGTACCAATTACGCTAGTTTCGTGAACAGTAGTTAATCCATCCTTAACAACTGTGCCACCGAGTTTCGTAACCAGCCCAGTTGGATTCTCCTTTTCTCTTCGACCTGTTGGTCTAGGTTTTGGATGTGTTTTCGAGGAAGGTCTCAAATTGATTAACTGCAAAGATACAACGAAATGCTACTTTGCATGAATCAATACACGAATTCGTGAGAGGAATTTTTAGTGACTTTGGATTACTTATAATGCTAGTGCTAAGAGACCGTTCGGTTTCGGAGATATAAGCATACATTTGCAAGAATTTGCTAATTAATGTGAACTTGAGGAATCACTAGTGTTTATCTTCCTCAAATAGATTGTTAATTCAGCGAAGTTTAAATGTAAACTTTAGATCGATGAACTGTAACCTCCATGAATTTATCGACGAAATTTATGTTAATTTTAAAATACACGTTTGATGTACAAAAAATGAAGGAGACTTCTATTTCAGTAACACCAATTCGTTTTCGTTATCAGTTTTTAAAATGATTCCATACATCATGTACCAAATTGTATTCTATTTTTAATTTTTTCAATTTGTTGTATTGTATAACTTAATCTTCAGTACTTTTTTAATTTATAATTTTTGTAATAATGATAATCCCTATATTTTATCAGATTGATAGATAATTTCTATATTCTATAAAACAGATTACCAGTTTCCATTATTTATGCGACATATAATAATGATTTTGTATTTAGGTTGCGTACATATACGTATATGTATATTCATTGATCTTTTAAGGAATGCAATTTGTAATGCTTGAATAGAGTTTTGACCTTCTTCACGAATAAACGTCTTTTCACAGTAAATATATCAGAATGTATTAATTTGTCGAGGAGAAAACTAGATTTTCAGGTTCCGTCGTCTTATCTTATATTTATACGCTGCTGCAGAACAATCCGTGTCAATGTTAATTATATGCAGTGAGAGAAAACTTAATAAGTGAAAAATTGCATCATTGATCAGTGATTTAGAACGGGAAATGTTTCCCGTTATACTAGGTGCTTAATATAACGGTTGCTACAATTTCTCAATCATTTTTCGATATTTTGGAATATGTCTTCAACAAAGTTGATTTCAAGTCGACTATGAATTACAATGTAACAAATTTTCACTATAAAGCATCTATGTCACATTGACTTTTCTTAATGGTACTACGCATTTTTGACTTCATAATGTAATTCATATCAGAACGAGTTCAACAATACTCTGACCTTGAAATGACCTTGAATTTAGAAATGTTAATTAAGCCGTACAAGTTACGTTGTATTTCATATACCTCATGCTCCTCTTATATGTATAATTGAAATTTTATCTGAAGAAAGTCACATGCAATCTAATTTGAATAAAGTTGCTCTCTACGATGGTCCTCTTCCCACATGTCTGAGCTCAATGGCATTTCAAGGTTATAATATAGTAGGTTGTTAAACATGTCTCGATACTATGAGTCAAGAATACTGAATGTTAATAATTAATACCGTTTTAATGTGCTCTCCTACAGATTTTCGCTACGACAGTAATGTGTTGAAAATAAAAAACAAACGTGCGTGCAAGGAAAATTGAAGATAATTGAACAGTCATTTTGTGAAACAAAAATAACTGAATTTAATGGTGCTTTTAGAGAAAATTAGCTGACTTTTCGTACCTTGTACGTTTCGTCAATTACTTCTGCAGGTTGCTTGGACAGGAAGTCGTATTCAGGTTCTGCAAGATTGTTCTTTACTCCAGGCGTTTCGTCCTTCGATTTTACTTGCACTTGCGTAGATATTACAGGGCTCTTTGTGATTACCTGCGTTTGAGTGTTCAGTTCCTGTAAGAGATATTGCTTTTAATCAAACGAAAATTTATGCAAACTGCTTTTGATAACCATGTACCACTTTAGACTGCTTTATTTTAACGCAAATTGAATTTGAATATATTGCGAGCGAGTATGAATTTGACATCATATTTCTGAACAATTCATGTTTATTTTAAGAATAAACTGTTTCAAAAAGTATTGTAGGAGAATATAAATAAATATCGAGAATTTGAGGTGAAAGTAGTTTGCAATATTTCAGATTACTTATTGTCCTGTAACATGAAGTTTTATAACACTTTTATTGTTTTAAGGTGGAATAGAATATGAATTATGGTAGGTTCTTATAATATGGCTGTAGAATATTTTGCGTTAACTAGAATATATCAGGATTATTAAATACTTATGGTAATTAGAAGGAAAAAGTCATATAATATAAATAAAATTAATTTAGGGTTAAAAATCAGATTTATTGCAAACACTTTCGCTCTATTATTACATTTTTAAATTTGAAAATTTGACAATTTTTAAATTCTAATACTTATATATGAAAATTCGAAAATTTCGATACTTGTAAATTTTTAATTTTAAATTTGGAAGTTGAAGAATTTTGAACTGGAAATTTAGAGATATGGTAGGTTGGATTTCTAAACGTCCAATTCTTATAAATTTTCAGACTTGTGTTTAACAATTTGAAAATTAGAATAATCTATATTTTCAAATTAATAAATTCGTCGGTGTTTGTTGAATGTTTGAAAATTTAAAGTTGAAAAATTTGTAATCTTAGGAATCTGTAAATTTGAAAATTTAAAAATTCCAAACATCTACATCTTCAAATTTTATAAATTTCCAAATTTGATAATCAGAAAATGAAACATTTTCATTTTTTTAATTTCTACCCTTCTTAATACTTAAATTTTCAAATTTTTCAATTTCTAAATTTCCAATTTCATTTATAACAAAAATGACATTGAAGTATCGTATTATTATAATTACCTTTTTCTAATATTAGAAGGACATAAGTAAATTGCGTTTGAATCTCTATAAGTATAAATGTAAAAAGTTGGTGGAAAATATTGCTGGATCTACTGTAGTACCGTGATCAATAAATAATCGTTTACGTCAAGTTTACGTGAACGTTTGAAAGTAGAAATCTCTTGTACAAGTGTCTGTGTGGGTTCGTATATACGCATGTAGGTATATAAACACAAACAGACAACTTAAACCGGAAAAGTTAGCTTCTCGAAAGGGAAAGTACCCTACTTCCTGCTCGAAGACATAAATATTTCAACTTCACGGATCATATAGATTGTTAATTGTTTTTTTTTTTTATTGAATTATCTAACGTCAGAATTCAAACTCTAATTTTGAATGATTTACTTATATTGTGATCAGTAAGGATGCTTTATACGAAATAGTGCCTCTGAATGTAGGTCGCATTCTGTTCAGTTACAGATACAAAACAAATATGCCTAAATAATACTTAAACTTATATTATATACTTATTATGTATATTTAATATTTAAGTATAGTACTTAAGTATAGTAATGTTTAAATGTAGTACAGAATTAAATGAAGTATTGAGATCTTTTATAGAAGTTAAATCTGTAATACCTAATTTATTTTACACATTACAGCAATTATCTTTTCTGCAAGTACCAACCAGTCATTTTGTATTCAAGATATTATTGAAATATTTATATAATTATTTTAAATCTCCATTTTCAGTGCTATCTTTATACACTATTTTAAGATGCTTTTATGTTATAAATTTATTGCATGTTAATATTGACGTATTATGTCATATTTTATGTGAAACATGCCATTGTATACAGCACATATTCATTGAACTTAAAAATATTTCCAGTTAAAGATATATTTTAAACTTGCACATAGCTCGATGTTCAGTTATTTCAATCCCAAAACATCCGACTTCTGAGAGTTAATAAGTAGTTACAAGGTTTCAAGATACATTTCAAGAAAAATGTAAAATTCGTGTTAGCTCTTAATGATATACCTACTGGTATCTATTAGTAATTCCTTAGATAACGTTCCTTAATTTATCTTACCTGGCTTTTTGGAGACCGAATGCCATTATCATCGGAGGAGTTAATAACATTCTGCTCGATGACGGAATTCACAACAACCTTCGTGCCTTTTGCCTGTTTTTTCGTTTCTTCTTCGGAATTCGTTTTGTGCGTTTTGCTTGGTTGAATATCAGGAGCCGCTTTTTCCTGTGTTCCGCTCGGTTTCGTTTGAATAATCGAAACGCTGCTTTTCTTTCCCTTTTCACCGCCTAGAAGACGGGATCGATGATCAATCAAAATTACGCAACCTTGAAACGTTTTTTTAAACGAGTGGTCATAGTTAAAGTGATTTTTATTATCCAAATATTTTGTACGTTCAGTGGAATCATATTATACTGTTGTATTTAAAGGAATAGTTTCTTATTTAACAGTTTTTTGTTTAAGAGGACATTTGTAAAAGGACAGATATTTTTCTTGTACAGTGTATTTTTCTTATTTCACTATTTTAGTATTATATTATTATATTATTTTTATAGTTTATTATTATGTCGTTTCAAAATTCTACTACTTCATCATTTTACTGTTCCATTATTCTACTATTCATGATTACAGAATTACACTGATACTACTATACAATTATACTATAATATTACAATATGATTTTATTATTTTACAACTTTATTACCTTACTATTGCATTACTTTAATATTCCTGTATTTTAATATTTCAGTATTATGTACTACTTTACTTTTCTATTATTTTACTACTTAATTGTTATATTATTCTACTTTTTCATTCTACTAATATGTTATATATTGATATTCCATATAAATAATCATAAATATTTACTATAAATTTGATGTAAACATTCTATATTAAAATTGACAGATATTTAATATCGATTTAATATATTAACTATAATATATTAATAATACATATATTAACAGAAAATAATTGATTTAAAGCGACATAAGAAGAACTTTTTAAGTAGTGTCTTATTGTTGGTATTTAGAAACTAACTTTAATATACTAATATTACTATATTATCTATTTCTATATATTAACTTTGGGTTATAATTATCACCAACTTTATATGATTAAATTGAAGTTGCGAAATGTTACTACTCTTCTAGACGTATAGTTACAAATGAGACAAATTAAGTTCTTCAATTCACCCGCGAAATTTGAAATATGATAGCGCGCGGTTTCACAGGGTGTATTCTTCCACTCTCCCCTACTCTTTCGTTATTTTACTATTTAAATAATTCCCTATTTCATTTTCTTCTATGCTACTATAATACACACTGCTCTTAGAAATATCCACTTAATATTATAATATTATGGAGATTTACTATTCGCCAATCGGCAACTTCTATTAAAAAAATATTGGAAATTAATTCATGTCTCTTTTCTATAACAAAAACATTCGAAGAAAAATGCAAAAGATCCAGAAATAGAACTGTGTAATTACGAAATACTCGATGAAATGTTCTACTTTTTTAATTCCTTAACATTAATAATGAACTCCACAAAAGCTCGTAGCTATAAATCAATGTTGTTTCCATGGCCGAAAAGATTTCTCTGTCGACCTATACCCCTAATCCCTATTCTTATATTTTAATATACAGTCAAGGTTCAGTACATTGTTGTGTAAATGATTTCCAAATCAAAGGTTATAGAACGAAAGACATCGAACAATGGGTATTCTTTCATCCTTGATTGCAAAAGAACAGTAAGATGACAAATAAGATGAGATATCTGTTATAATACCATAACGGCCAAGGTCTATTAAAATTATTCGTGACTTATGCCATAGAATAACATTCTTCTTACTTCAAGGCTTACAGTTTAATTTCATAAATAAATTCTTAGAAGTGATACAGCCGTCAACGCCTACTACAGCAACAACGGCGACCATCGTCCAGTTCCAGAAAAGCATAATTTGCAGTTTATAACCAAATATTCGAATTACACTTTAACCTTTTAGGTACGACGCGCCACTATAGTGGCTTTTGTGGATATCATCTTTCAGGACGACGTGCCACTATAGTGGCTTTCGCGGATACGATCTCTCAGGATGACGCGCCACTATAGTGGCTTTCATAATTGTTGTACACTTCTTTTTTCTTTACATCGATTTACAACAGTGCAAATAAAACAATAGATAGGCAAAATAGGTAGTCAGGTATAAATTATTGCTTTTTCCTTAAATAAATATACCATTTGTTTTTTCAAACATGTCCTTATACATTGTTAGAGTCTCTAACCCCAAAATGCCACATGAAAATAGAAAACAAAGGGCAATTTCTGACAATTCAGAATCCGACTCGGAAATCGAAAATAAAATCAATAGAAATATGCAGGAAATCGAAAATAAAATCTAAAATCAATAGAAATATGCAGGGTATGAAGAAGATAAAAAGAATAAGATACAGCGATCAAATACTTCATTTGAATGTTCTCGTGCACAGAACGGGATTGCCCGTCACACTTTGCAGTGTTATATCGATAATACATCGTTCACGTCAGACCCTGCCGTCCAGGGAAATACCCACACGCAGAATTCGGCCGTACCTAAAAGGTTAATCAGTTCACTGTGGCGATCTTTTTGCAAAGCGCGCACCAGTGTGTGTCGCGATAATCAAGCGATGACGAGTTAGCTCTCAAGAATTTATGAATCCATCTCAAATCATTTACACTTTTTATTTGCTTATTTCATTTCGCGTTAACCTCTAAACATTTTAAACATATTACAATTTGCTGTTATATCCATGCCGGATATAGTCGTCATGACACAAAATTTTGTCACATATCCATGACGGATATAGCCGTCAACACAATTAACTGGTTAAGAAAGACCGATGTCATAAATGCCCACCTTATTATTGAATAAAGTTAGTCTCTGCCACAGAATTCAAAGTGACCACGTTTCTTTAAACCTTGTTTATTACTTTTAAATTGTAGTATATATAGATTTACTAAAATTAACTAAACTAATTAAATAAAGAATTTACATTAAATATTAATATCGCTTCAGTATTCATTTTCTTTCTTTTTATCCAACTGAGAATAATTCTTGTCACATAAGCTATATGATCCCTTAGTGAATATGTAAGAATGTGATTAATTAGGTATTAGCGGTTATGTGAGAATGTGATTATTTAAACTCAGTCATATTTTACTACAATATAAGGAGTTTTGCATAAAATATTCACCATCAACTGTTGATTCTTCTAAGTTTCTATAATATATGTATGAGTCAGATTTCAATTGCATTATTGAATATTATGTAGATAAATTAATTATAAAAATTACATTGTCTCGATGTCGCCTTTATTAACCATCACTATATTTTCTAATAATAAAATGGAAACTGATGTCTTCATGTTATTTTGCTATTTATTATATGTATATCCTTTGTTAATTTAAACAAATTATTATATATAGACTCAGATATTTTTTGTTATGAAATTAATTTTGAAAATATTATATATATGTATGTAATAACTAATCTTATTAAGTTTTTTAACAAATATTTGTTCACGAAAATTTGAAAAACAAACATTTTTAAATTAGTTAATAAACTACTTTAAAATTTATTATTTTAAGGTTTTAAATAGTAAATTCGCTAACTTATTATTTCTAATAAAGTAAAATATAAAATTTGTCGATTAATAGAGAAGTGATCGCTTATGGGTACATTTGTCATACTTTTTGTCTATTCGTGTTTTGTGATTTAACTCTTTAATAATGATGATCTGGTCAGTGGTGATTCATATTTACGAAACATGATCAATTAGGTATAAGGCTTCCTGCAGTTAAAAGAGAATGTAGAAGAAGGAATGCGTTGGTTAGGTTAGGTATACAGTGGAGCATGGCAGATCTTCCTTTAGAGGGAAAATGATCTGAGAGAAGTACGTACCGCCAACTTTTTATTGGTAAAATTGGTCAAATTAGCGAGCTTTCAATTTCTGAAATTTAGGAATTTGGGAATTGAGGCATTGAGGAATTAAAGAATTGAGGAATTGAGGAATTGAGGAATTGAGGAATTAAGGACTTGTGGCATTTAGAAAGTTAGAAAGTTGGATAGAAATTAAACAATTAAGAAATCATAAATGAAAGCACGAAGTTAAAAATTAGAACATGGAGATTTAGAAAATTTCAAAGTTGAAAATTGAAAAATTGAAAAATTGAAAAATTGAAAAATTGAAAAATTGAAAAATTGAAAAATTGAAAAATTGAAAAATTGAAAAATTGAAAAATTGAAAAATTGAAAAATTGAAAAATTGAAAAATTGAAAAATTGAAAAATTGAAAAATTGAAAAATTGAAAAATTGAAAAATTGAAAAATTGAAAAATTGAAAAATTGAAAAATTGAAAAATTGAAAAATTGAAAAATTGAAAAATTGAAAAATTGAAAAATTGAAAAATTGAAAAATTGAAAAATTGAAAAATTGAAAAATTGAAAAATTGAAAAATTGAAAAATTGAAAAATTGAAAAATTGAAAAATTGAAAAATTGAAAAATTGAAAAATTGAAAAATTGAAAAATTGAAAAATTGAAAAATTGAAAAATTGAAAAATTGAAAAATTGAAAAATTGAAAAATTGAAAAATTGAAAAATTGAAAAATTGAAAAATTGAAAAATTGAAAAATTGAAAAATTGAAAAATTGAAAAATTGAAAAATTGAAAAATTGAAAAATTGAAAAATTGAAAAATTGAAAAATTGAAAAATTGAAAAATTGAAAAATTGAAAAATTGAAAAATTGAAAAATTGAAAAATTGAAAAATTGAAAAATTGAAAAATTGAAAAATTGAAAAATTGAAAAATTGAAAAATTGAAAAATTGAAAAATTGAAAAATTGAAAAATTGAAAAATTGAAAAATTGAAAAATTGAAAAATTGAAAAATTGAAAAATTGAAAAATTGAAAAATTGAAAAATTGAAAAATTGAAAAATTGAAAAATTGAAAAATTGAAAAATTGAAAAATTGAAAAATTGAAAAATTGAAAAATTGAAAAATTGAAAAATTGAAAAATTGAAAAATTGAAAAATTGAAAAATTGAAAAATTGAAAAATTGGAACTTTAGAAATTTAGAAATTCAGAAAATTTCAAATTTAGAGACTTTGAAATTTTTAAAACTTCAAATTTAAAGATTTCGAAATTTTTGAATTTGGGGATTTGGAAATTTGGGAACCTATAAATTAGGAAATGTTCAGACTTGGAAGCTTCTTAGTTTCAGAAATTAGAAATTTAAAAATTTGAAAATTTGAACATATGGCGACTCGAAGATTTACAAATTTAAGGATGCAAGAAATTGGAGAATTTTGGAATTTGGAATTTTGTAAAAGCAAAAGTTTATAGATTAAAATCTAAAGATTTAGAAGTTAAAGTACCTAGGAATTTGAAGATTTGGGAATTTGGAGATTTGAAAATTTTTTAGTTTTAGTATTAGGATATATACATTCTACCTTGACACTTTTCCTAAATCAACTATAACCTAACTTGCTACTAGCTGACCACCATCAATTAAAACTGAATATTGTTTTCTAAAGACTTCCATTTTGACACAACTATTATCTAACAGAATTTAAAGATGTGCATCTATAAATAAACTCCAATACTTTACTAAACGTGAGATGATCTGTATAACACATGATAAAAAAGAATGTTAAGAGAGATATTCTGAAAATTATATCTTGCGAGAAAGTGTTTACGGCATTGATTTATAGCACTTAGAGGTTCGTCGGAATTAATGTTAATTGTGATTCGGAGATGCCGATGAATATGTACGCGATCAAGAACGAGGCTGCTTAAAATTCTCGGATTTTATTCGAATTTATGATATTGCTTCTCAAGCATTTTCTCTCTAATAGTATGATAATTTACTCTTTTTTTCTTTGCGTTGGCGACAACACCGAGCGTCGCATCGTTTAAATTAAAAGATGCTCGACATAAATGATCTTCAACGTTTTTAAAGAAAATTATACCTGTTGGCTCGCTTTGTGGGCTGAACACCATCACTGTGTTTCCAATCGTGGTGGTGAAATCCAAGAATCCGTAGACGGTTTGTGTAATAAAATTATCGTTTACAACCGCCGGTTTGATTACTGCAGCGGTCTCGACCGAGTGGCTCTTGTAAACTTGGGCCGCGCATTCTGTAACTAAAAGTGAAACGAAATCATTCCTTAAACGGTGCTTATTTTTCTATCGTAAAACGATTGATTGTCCGAGGAACTATGATGGAACGTAATGTTTTTATGTAACTCGTTACGTTAAAAAGTGCGTAACGCTACAACGTACAATTCTAATAGAAGGTATCATAAACACGCGGATGTTTGGTGTAATAAAAGTGAAACAACTTCCATGTAACATCGATGGTTATACAGCATGTTTTATAGTGTTCAATCGATATAACCGCAGCGAAAAATATTTATTTTAATATGTTCATAGAACTCTTTCCATAATTTGCCATAAAAAGAATTTCAAGCTGTGCGGTTTTGTAACAACCTGTTCTTTGTTCGTACAAATGATTTTTCTGTGCTTAAAAAATTAATTGAACTTCTTGTTTAAGGAAACCTTTCTTTAAAATTTCTGTTCAACGCCGTAGAAAAACTAGATTCTTGGTCTTATAAAATATAATTTTTGTATAGTTTTATAATACTTTAAGTATTTTGAAATGCCTGAAATATTTGAAATTCCTGAAATTTTCGAAATTCTTGAAATTTCTGAAATTTTTGAAAACCTTGAAATTGCTAAAATTCTTTGAATTCTGTAAAGTTCTTAAATGTTTTAAATTCTTTGAATTCCTTCAATTTTTTAAAGCCTTTACATTCTTTAAAATCTCTAAAATCTCTAAAGGGAGTAATCGAAATTATTGAAAATCTTTAAATCACTGAAATTCTTGAAATACCTAAAATTTTTAAAACGCACTAAATTCTTAAAATTCTTAAACGTTTAAGAGTCTTAAAATCATAAGTCTATAAATTCGCGTATCCTGAATCACATATTTACGTATAAAATTTTGTTAGACCTCAAGACCTGAAAATAAAACTATACGTCCTGTATCTCATTTCTCAAGCTACATATAATAGGTTGTTAAGTGTGATTAAGAAGATTGGTTCGTTTAAAATGCAAATCGACGTCCTCGATCAACAAAGAGTACATTTCGAAAACGAAAGGTGTGTCCGGATTTTTCAGTGATCGATGCTGTAATGAAGTGTGTACAGCTTTGCCTACAAATTAATGTTCTTTTACGTTGCAGAAATGTACGTGTGTACACGTACATCTGCCAGTACGTGGTAAGTGTGGGAAAGAGTAGCCATTTGGTAATAAAGGAACGCCTTGAGCATTTCTACTGAAACCTTTTGAACAGCACTTGGCATATTGCATATATATGGACAAGTATTTGCGATAACTTTTAATTCTGGATTTACGGAGTTTAATGACCACTTATAAATTGAAACTAAACTATAAAAATGAATGTATTATGCATAATACGTAAACTGGCTTATACAATGATTCTTTATCTTGATGGAGGTTAACATACATTTTCACAAAGGCTTCTTAATTTCTGTAATTTAAAATAAGAGATCTACGATCCATCATTTTGACGCGTTCCGTAACCTAGTGTTAAGTATTAACTGACATTCGTACGATTCACAGAAATGAGTGTATTAAGCAAATATATGTATAAATAAAGTGCCATATTTAGTCAATATTTTTATTCGTTGGTACTCTGTAATTTTTTAACATATTATTTTTATTAAAATAATTAGGCATTTTTTTTATAACCTAATATTTAAACTAAAATACTTGTGTTTTAATTACTATCTCTTCTAATATGCAAATACATATTTATTTAACAAATTTTCAAACGATTATTTTCAAATTGTTTGAATTAAAAATAATTTCGAACAATTTTAAACGATTATTCTTATACATTTAAATTCTTCAAAATTTGTGATATTTTATTAAAAGTAATCATTATTTTGTGTATTTGTTTCTTTAAAATACACGTATTAAAGAAAGTAAGTAATCTGTAACGATTAATTTAATTATTAATTATTAATTTAATGGAACACAATTTGATATGCTAAAATTAATCAAAAATGTTAATCAAATAAATTTTAGTAAAATAAATAATTCTGTGCATGCAGAAATTTTTAAATACATTAAATTTTTAAATATTTGACAGTACCAAAAATGTTAAAATGTTAATATCACAATTAAATATGTATACTGAATATTTGAATTTCAATATATTTTCTAAACAATGTTCGAAGTTTGAGGTTTCAATCAATTTCAAAAATAATTTCTACTGTGGATAAAAACATGTATACACTGTTTCATATTTTAGGTTACTAATATAGATATTATAATAAATTGTTATTTTATAAGATTATTTCTATGTTAATTCGGTTAAAATATGAATCTCAAGTTTTTCACTTTGAATAATATATGCCACAAGCCAAAAAATTCAAAGCGAAAATGCAAATCTTACGTTTGCCTTATATCAAATTAATATTAATGAATTTTTATCAGTGTTCATGTCATCATTAAAATATTTAAACAAATGCTAGAAGATATTTATAATTTGAAAAAATTCTTGTACAAGATTAAAAGGACTTAAGATCTGAGAAGCTGAATTTTTTGCATCACATATTTTGTTTTAATTTTTCGAAATGTTAATATAAAATGTTTAAAAAATATGAAAATACTTACCGTAAATTATAGATATGGCAATGATAAAATATTTCGACGACATCGTGATCAGTATAATTTCATTCTTCGTCAGTTCATGAATTTTCAATCTGAAATATAAGATCAAAATAATCAACGTAAATTTACAAAGAAATTCTTAAAATATGTTTATAATAAATATAAATTATATAAAATTATTATAGACTATACAACATGTATAGAGTATGCAACAGCACATATATCATAAGAACACAAACTAAAGCGTAGATTACGCAATGCTTCGTCTAAAATTAACTATGATTGAAATGCAACGCTTTAAAGTGTCAAAAATATGAAATACATCATCATGGTACGGTTACCATACGCAAACACAAAGATGATAATGGAGAATTCTAAGAAAGTAATCATGGTGAATGCATAAATAAACGGTTCGTCAGAAAGTATAATACTTCTTCAACGCTTCATAGTACGCTTCACAGCCTCGTCATTAACATAATGGTTTTTGCGCAATAATTGTAAGTATGAACACGCTATATCTATAGCAAATACTATTTCATAACGAGAATCATAAATGAAGGAAAAAAGAAATAGCAAGACCATTTGAAGAAACAAATAAAAATAAGTAATGAACTTGGTATAAAAATGATTGTTATATGATGAAATAGAAAATGATGGTAAAAGATGGAAAACTAACACTAATCAACATTTATAACTAGTAGTTAATAGCTATTATTTAGAATTAATATCGTAATACTAAGGGGTGGCGATATAATGCATGGGCGATACACGGATGATGGAATGATGGTACAAAAAGTGCCAATATAATATAGGATAATAATGTACTAAAAAATTTTAGTAACATTTATACCATTATAAAACTAGCTGATGATCAGCACTTTAAACCTAATTAAGTAATTAATGTGCAAAAAGATAAATACTACTATACAAGATACAGTACTAAATTAAAAAAATAAATTGAAAACGATTTGCGTAAGAATGTATTTTACATAGTTTCAAATCATGTCAAAAGGGCTTGTATAATTATGTAATGGTGTTTTATATAAATATATTCGAAACATTTTCATATTTCAAATTTATATTACGGTGAAGTGGGGTAAGTGCAGATTGGTTTTTGTAAAGTTGGTATTTAAACGTAAGTATTTTCAGTCTGCTATGTAAATACTTAACGCTGTCGATATCGAACGCTTTGCACAATTACTACTATTTAATTAATATTAATTAGGACCTTAATTTTCCTTGTACATTTTGATTTTGATAGGAAATTGTTTAAAATGTCAAATACTCCGTGCTTTCCCCGAAAATGGGGTAAGAGCGTAAATTGAAGTTAAATACTCTGAAACTTTATTTCATGTGCAATGCAAGTACTCTTAGTTAGTTGAAATATAAAAGGGGATACAGTGAAACAAAACAAGGAAACAAACATACTAAATGGAGAAATTTCGCTCATATTGTAATAAAAATACCCTGCATACACACTTGCCCCATTTACGAACTTAAGAATTGTATTATGTTACCTTTTCATGTTTATAAATAAGATTATATTACGAAATTTCACGTTTAAAAATTTTCGTTAGGTCTAATATGTTAATTTTCACTCCTAATATATTCTTCACTCTTGCGTACATACCTTGCTTAATTATACAGGGCGTTACTTCTAACGCGCTATACAATTTCTCATCCACTTGCAGTTATCCGATAAAAAAATTTAGAACAAGAGTTGTAGGATATAGTGTGTACATTAAATATCAGTAAAAAAAAATTCGAAAACAGTGTATTTTCATGGTAAAATTGAAATCAATACACTATATAAATAATACGGAAACCTTTACAATGGTTACATATATACAATAGTATATTTTGTTTACGTTTATAATTCTTCTGGTGGTCAGACATTTTTCCTAACCCAAAAATAAAATTGCAGATTGCAAGAATGAAAAGTATTTATCTTCTCATTGCAACATGATCTGTTCAGTTTTCGCGGCCATTTTTAGACACCTTGTATAAACCACTTTTGACATAGGTTGCTGTAACTTGTAAAACGTCCTTAGGATGCATGAATGGGGTCTCGAACGATGCATTATCTCATCACGCACACATATGAAATCGTTCACCGTTAAGGAGGCAACGAAATTATTACATAACGATGGCGTTGGTAATCGTTTAGCGTGAAACAATGGTAAAAGGCAATACCGTTTCAGGTTGGGTGCTTAACAGGCATGACGGGAATTCGTGATTCTAGATCGATTTGTTAGATTTGGAAGCGATATCAATTTTTTTTTTTAATTTACAGGCGCCATCTTCTTTTACAATTTCGTATTTCTTACTTAATACTGAATAAATAACGATAGCACGATTGATAACGAGACGAACAAGTTTTATTTTCTTGCACCTTAGTACTTTTATAATATGGTTGGATATAACTAGTACGAAAATCCGTTTGATCGGCTTAAATCAATAACGACTGATGACTAATTTAAATGTTTATCAAAGTATTCACAGATTTCAATTATTTCACATCTTCAAATTTGGTCATTTATAAACTCAAATAATCAATGATGACTCAAATTACATTTCCACTTCTCAAGTTAGCTGTACATATTTACATTGTTGTTTGATTTGTTTTTGTTTGCTGAATACGAATATAATATCCGTCGTTTGCAAAAATGACATATGAAAAAGTCGAATTTTTAAGAGAGTTCATCTCATCTATTTGAATAATCTTGAAAAATATTGTCAAGTTTAAATTTCTGAATAACTCTTTTTATGCATGTAACTTTCGTTCATCTTCAGTTTCAGATATATTTTGAAAATGTTGATCAAGATGTAACATCTTCATCGCAAAATAATCACCTTCAGCAATCACGAAAAAACCTAATTAACCTTTCTGAGTATGTATTGAAAAAATGACCAAAGAAAATATAATAAACGCCGAAAATGCTTATGACTGTATCAAATGTGTACATGTATTGGCAGAATTTAATTATGTAATAGTAATAGTTTTTTGTGAATATCTCGAGAACAAAAAAATTTGATTGTTGCATATATAAGAAAAAATTGTTCGAAATATAGATTTTCGCAATGTTCAGCATACATCGATGCCTAAGATTCGACTATATACTGAAAAGTATACATACGTGTTATTTTTTACATTTTTGGTTTTTGTTATTTTTACTAAAAATTAATGGGAGGTTCGTATTTTGGATATTAATGTAATACAAGTAAAATGATATCTCATTATAAGTACCTTGGGTAATAGCATTTGGCAAACTCAACCAAATTCAGATATTTAAAAATGTAGGAATCCAATAATTTAGAATTTAAATTTAGAAGTGGAGAAACTTAATTTGGTAATTTGGTAATTTGGTAATTTGGTAATTTAGTAATTTGGTAACTTGATAATTCGGTGATTTGGTAACTCTTAAATTTAGTAATTTGGTAACTTGATAACTTGGTAGCTTGGTAACTTGGTAATTTGGTAATTTGGTAATTCGGTAATTCGGTAATTCAGTAATTCCTGAATTTAGTAATTTGGTAACTTGATGATTCGGTGATTTGGTAACTCTTAAGTTTAGTAATTTGGTAATTTGGTAATTTATTAATTCAGTAATTCAGTAATTCAGTAATTCAGTAATTCAGTAATTCAGTAATTCAGTAAGTCGGTAATTCGATGATTCGGTATTTCGGTAATTCCGTAATTCGGTAATTCGGTAATTCGGTAATTCGGTAATTTGATGACTAAACAATAAGAACGACCTAAGTTCAAAAATCTGCACATTACCAACGCAATAACAATTTCTGTGTCTAACAACGATGTTACTTAATATTATTTTTCCGTAATAAACTCAAACAAAACTGCAACTTGCGATTTTCTTAGCGAACGGTCGCGAAGGACAAAAAATCCCCGTTACACGCTATAATCCCCAACAAATGTACTCTTTATTCGAAATTTCAGACACGAATAATGACGTTTCAGTGTTGGTGTTCGCCTGAATTGTTAAGCAACTCTTGTGAGATCCCGGCGAGAAACGTATATCGCCTCCAAATCGCATTAGGAATACGTAAATAATGCCGGTGATTTTAAAATACGTTTGTGAATTTACAATTAAAACGACGCTGATATACGAGGATTTTTATTTATTGATTTGCGAAACATGATCAACGTAAAATAGATCTAAATAGATGATTTAAACTATGGATATGTTTGACTCATATTTTGAAATACGAATTTAATTAAATTAATGAGATTGCGATCATAATTATTCATTGTGTCATGACTTTCCGGTTTCTTCATTGAAAAAAAATTGATCTTGATGCACTAAATCATTTTATAATCGTTGCTTCATGTTAATATCGATTGCATGAGTAATATAGGATATTTCATGAATTATTTATTGGAAATACCAGTGATCTTAAATCTATTTTTAATAACACCTTCGAGGAATTTTACAATGTAAATGAAACAGTACATTAACAATTTTTTCTTCAGTTTATAGGTTAATATTTATTTTTCATTAAGATTTATTTGTTAAAATTCCATAAACAATTTTCAGACACAATAAGCATAGTTCAAGATTTTGCGTATTCAATTTTTTTAATTATTGCAAGAGAACGTGAATTTAATTTATAAGAGAGAATAATAGATATTGTATTAATTTTTATGGAATTTCTGATTTTGTAGTCTATAATGGACAGGTTATGTTAATATCAATTTGTCAGATTTTTTTTATAAAACCTTGTCAAGTCAGTTTTTACTTGTGAATGATAATTAGTTTTCATTTTCGCGAGTTATCGTGTTATTATAGTGTATCACGATAGTAACACGCGATACAAGGATTGCTCGCGCTTTTTGCTGCAAGCGTGCGGATTATACACGTTGCTGCAATATCTTGGGAGAATACGAGTGAAAGGAACAGCTCATGAACTCACGATACAGCGAACAGTGGTTCCGTTTTATCAATTTATACTAAACATTCTTAAGAAGAGACTGAATGAGACAAAATGAGTAGATTAAATGAGTTTTGTAAAGACAGGTTAAATGTGAACTACGTCTAAATTTCATTTTTTTCGAGGTTGAAATGAAGAATGTACA